ATAAGATCTTCTAATTGATCCTTGATATCTTGGTAAATGCTCGTATTTAAAAATATATTATCTATACTAGCTTCGTGTGGTACGTCGTCGCGTACCTCGATATCGGTTTATGGGAAAATTCTTTTTTTATTGTTCTGTCTGCAAAAATTTTAATTATTAATATAATCTGTCTTTCAAAACGTCTTAAAATATCCCTCTCATGTGCGCCGTGGGAAGGGTGGTACACCGCATGTGCATTGGAGTTCATAAGAACTGCAATATTAGCACAGATGGATAGCTAGAAGAAGTTTTTTAAAATTGCGTAAGATTGCGAATAGGAACTGATAACACATAGTCTAGGTTCTAATTAGGCATTTCAGTTATTGCTATGATTTTTAAGCCAATCGGCTGAATTTGTTGGGCGTTATTAAGCAACAAATAGGTAGAACAACGTTTCATTGCTATATATTAGTAGGAATAGGAATAGGGATATAGATATTAATATATTAAAATCTGAAGTACAATATCAACTTCAAAAAAGATCATGAGGTAATATAGTTTTTGTCCACAATTCAGGATTGGTCGACGTGAGGCTCGTAATTTTCCGGATATTTTAAAGTTAGCCATGTTTATTGCACCATGGATATTTAATGTGGTCTAACCTGTCAGACTTTATACGTACTTTTATTTTTTATATTCAGAGAACGCTCTATAGTGCTGTGACATTGTATAGTATGTGTTAACGTACGTACGTATTACACTTAACACAGTCCACACTATATGCGCGTTTAATGTATTGTGTCTGGCTACGTGTTCCTGTTAGGTTCTTATGACACATTGCGGATACTTGTAACAGTGCCCCTGTTATCGATTAATCCAAGTGGAATAATTCAATGAATGTCAAAGTCTTGAATCAATTACTTTCCTTTTAGCCTGATAAAATAATCAGAACGATTTTAATTGTAAACGCACTTGTCAGTGGAAATCCATTGCACTTGAGCTTAATCAAATCCAGTCCATGTTTTCCAATCGATAGGCCATCGCCAACGAGTCAACGTCGTTCCTATGTAAATATAGAAACTTCATGCTCACCTTATGAAGCCACCCTAAGGTTCAGATTTACATAATTCGTAACTCCAACGACGAGAATTTTCAAATAATAAGAATTTCCCTGTGGTAGTTACTAATTTAAGGATAAATCAATATTTCCAATTCCTGGTTTCCAAAATTCAATTATATTGGATTTTGAAGAAAAAAAAAATAATAGTATTCATGTGTAACAACTTTCGGGTCCTTTGGCTTTCTGCAATTTTTTTCATACCTTCGCCTACAATGAAATTGAATACAAACGTAAATTGAGCCTTGAAATTTTGTAGTCTAAGCACTTAAGACAGAAAGCAGCAATGTGTACAGATAAACATTTCTACTTCTACTGCATTACGTTCTAAACCCACCCTGCTGTCCCATGAAGACCCATTATCACGAAACGTCAAAATTTTGACAATTACCGGGTAGTCCTTGGGTCCCCATCTTCTCCTGCAAATGCTTATCACAAAATCACCATAGTCCTTTTGACGCATTTTCCGCCCAATAAAGATAAGAATTATTGTCATTTTGAGGATCTACCCGAATTTGGATACCAATTAATTCACAGGTGGAGCGCATGGTAATAAAAAATATATTTTCTTTCTACAAGAAACAATTGTATATGTGATATATTGCAAGTAGTCTAATACAATAGTATGCTTAATATTTGAATATAACTTTACGATGTGTCAATTATAACAAAGTACAAAAAGTAAGTATACAATCGTTTCGTAGCTGCGTTCAATAATATGAATATTGCAATAAATATTCTTTCGGTTTACCTTAGGATCATAAGTTTTTTTAGGGCATTATCCCCATATCAAGTAAAATAGAAAAGTATTTTAACAGAGGGCTTAAGCAAACGTGAAGCCAAACAGTAATTATATCCTATATCAAACACTAACGATTCTCCTGTCACTTTGAGCGACTTTCGCCTATATCAACAAGGATACACCATTTTACCCGTAGAGTTTGAAGTTCGTATCGTTATCAATTTTAATAATTGTTCACAACTTTCAATATATATCATAATTTTGATAAATTACCTAAATCAAGGATTGTATCCTCTTTAAAAAAAAAAATTCGAAATCTACAATTCGCTTCGTACAAATACTCTATGCCTTGCTCCCATTATTATTTCACATTCTTACTATTTAGTCAAGCCAGCTACGCATCGATACGCAGGAATAATTTAACGTAACACGTGACACGACGAAATATCGTGCCCTTTGCGGGAATGAAATTTCACGAAATAAAATAACGTCGCACAGGATTAATAAAAAAAATTAAAAGTTACGAAAACTTTGCAATTATACGAAATCATCCCGATTGTCGATTGCTCGTCGCTTTCGGTACCCACTTTTTTGTCATCGTTCACATACTTTCCATTTCTCTCTTTATCACGTTTTTTCTATTCTTCCTTGTTTAATTCTTTTCTACCTTCAGTTCAGCGTCTATGACAGACTAGCCGCGAAGCCCTTTGAGTCTTAGCGTTTTCGGACAGAGTCCCTCTCGTTATATAATAAATTATCTTATGCTCTGTTACAACAAAAATTTGTTACTTGGCTTTGCCGTTTTTTTCCCTTTTTTTTTGGTAACGCATGTTGACGTCTCCGGAAGATCCCGTTGCTTGAATATTTCACTACGCTGCTAAGCTAATACCTTGCGTGCCAAATATTTACGTAGCTTCGTTAAATGCGACGGCTGATAAACTTAGTACGGATTTAAAACGGCTGCCAAGTTTACTACGGGTTTTCAGTTATTCGCGCTGACCATACTCCAGTGCAATTCAAAGCGGGAATCCAATACTGATAAATGTGTACGAGACTTTCAGGTGTTCATTGTCTTCTGCAAGCCGTCGGACTATGGGATTCGAAGAATGTATCCATTTTTTTAACAGATAAAAAGAAACGTAAAAAATTTAGCGAAACTTAAAAAGAATTTCAGTTCGTACTGTTTCTTGCTGTAAACTGAAAGTTTCTTAATTTTTTTACGTAAATTATGGCAAATTACATTTATTCGCACGAGTGGAACAATTTTTTCTTAAGATCAAATTCATAGCAAAATTTTTACAAGATATTTCTTCGGTGTAGAAATATAAAATTTTTGTATTATTCCTCCATTCGCCCATACAACCCACCCGCTCAGCTATTCTGCACTCGGTGCACATTGTCAATTCGATTGCCTTGAAAAATTACTCGGGTTGTCTGTGACGAAGGACTTTTTGACGTCGCTCGAAAAGTTTTTTCTTCTGCATATAGGTTGACTAGCATTGCGAGAGATTTATTAAAGTTATTTTGCGCAAAAGATTCTTCCTAAGTTAGTAAGGTGAAACTTCTGTCGGGTATATACATAACTCGAAGACATAATTTTGCAAGTTGAAAGAAGTTTCTTTTTTACGAACTTATTAAATTTCTCTGTCAGATGTAGAAGTTGTCACTTTTATCTTCACGTTAAATTTTATATTATTCAAAAACGTGATCCAATTTCTTTTGAAAAATAGACGAAGTTGAATTAAAATGCTAATACAATTGATTTATAGTACGGTAATAATGATAATGCCACAAACTGATAATAAATTTTTCTTTTTTTTTTTTCATACGACGAAACGTTAATAATTCAATAATTCCAATCTACGATATCTCTACTTGCAAATTCCCGAGTGATTAGCAAATGTCAATTTGCCGCAAGTAATGATTCTATATTGCTGAGAAAAGTTGTCATGGGAATTCACCTTTGTGAAAAAAAATGTTATAAATTACAGAATTTGCACAATTTATAGGGGCAAGTCCGGGCAAAGCGGATATGTATCTAAAGGTTTGGCAAGAAAAAAAGATATAATTAAAGTCGAAGTAAGGAACTTTTTTTAGTCTAACAATAGTTTAAATTTAGTAATCTGTCAAATAAAATAAGAAAAACATTTTTAAAAAAAACCAAAAATTTAAACCTCTTTATAATTAAAAACTATGACAAGAGAAACTATCCGCTTTGCCCGATCGGGGCGGTGGAGGGGTCAAAGAGGATGGCTCATCCGGTTCGTACCACTCCTGCCCCTCCCCAGGCAAAGCGGATGAACCATCCTCTTGACTCTCATCCGTTTGCCCAAAGTTGCACTTGGTGCAAAGATCAAGGTTGGAACAGTTACGAGCAACAAGTGAAACATTTTTAACTGCCAAAAGACTTTTAAAAAGTCCGAGAATTATCAGAAAGGGACATTAGGGAACTATTACTGCTAATAATGAAGCTACGTATCTTAGGGGAAATCGCAAGAAAACACACGAAACGTATTATTTTCGAACAAAAAACTCACGAGAGCAATCATATGTTTTTTCCACTATCGTAGCGTCGGCGGCCAGATTACTCCCTCTAGATTCTAGAGACGTATAGCGCTGTCTAGGATACACGAGCGAAAAGAAAGGCTATTCGCTTTGCCCAGGTCATTCGTTTTGCCCGGGCTTCCCCTACATTTTTTTTCGTGTCTGACGTAAAAATCCTTGCTTGCCTTTGCGTATTGACATACAACAGAAGTGAGAGTATAAGAGCATTGCGAAAACTTAAGTGGTTAGCTTTTTATACGAAAAATTTCTAGCAGGCAATTAATCGCACGCGAAAACGCAATTAGAAATTTTGAAAATATTTATCCAAAAAGCTTCGTTCGTAGATACTGTGGATTCTACGTCGTCAAACAAATCGATCACAGCTTATAAAGTTCGAGCCGGTAGTTCCGTCGCGTCTTGTAAATCATGATATGTAAAAGAGTTTATCGCTGCTTTGTATACATATACGTTACATATAGAAACCCTCTATTCTTTGCTAAAACAAAACTTTTTTGCTTATATTCACTTGAATTTGCAATTTATCAATCACACGTATGACGCATATTACGCCAAATTTTTAATAAACGAGCTAAATATTGCGCAATGAGAAAAACCTACTATATCTGGAATAAATGATGCGCTGGGATGAAGCCCGGAAATTGCACTGAAAAAGAAAACGAGAAAAACAAAAAAAATCAACGATATCCATATTACGGGTGAAACTTCAAGAGTATAGATATATATTGAAAATATAATAATATAGTTTACAAAGATATTGCACTCACAATGATGTCATATATGGTGATTATAACTTCATTCGTTAAACGATTTTCTGCTCAAAGTATTTCAATAAAACTCTAATACCCGGATGAAAAAAGCTAGGAAAGCTCTTATAATTTCTTTAAAAAAGTCAATACGCCAATATCATCTATTAAAATTTTTATTTAAACAATACTTTTCAGCATCGATAAAATTTTTCAAATTTAAAAAAAAATATCATTTACTGCGTAAGCACTATTGCAAAAATTTATTCAATAATGCGAATTTACCTTTTCACTAAATAATTTTCATTCAATCGATTATAGGTCTATCGATCCTTATCAATAAACTACTCTTAGGGGAAGTTATAAAAATGCCAAGGTATGTCCGACAATGATGATTCCCTTTTTTTATTGGTTATGCAGGCTGATAAGGAGGTCAAGCGAAGTCAATTAAGTTATCGTTTTACAGTATCTGACAGAGCGTACCAATGATAACGGGAAGCTGTTTACGATAAGAGAAAATCACCATAAACTTATTTTCGCACGAGTGCATTTCCTCGTTGCGATTATCTTTGACAAGATTTTCTTCTCTCGTCCACATTTTTTATTTACTTACGGAAATAACGGAAAGGTGTAAATTCTGTTAGTACGTATGACGTCATCATTTACTATACTGCGTATAAATTCTATACGACGATTTTCTATGAGTAAACAGAGACGTAATTAATGTGACTAATAAATTTATTTGACTCACCCAATTGGTGTCCTTTTCCCACTCGCGAGAAATTCCAGTCTACGATTTAACGAGCACCATACACCTAACACTACAATAACACAGAAGCAGATAACAAATATGCGTAAATCGTAAAAACTGTTAACAACAAAAATTCATTGTACAATTTTAAAAAACGCGCGTCGGTTAATTCGCGCCATTTATACCTGACGAATTATTCGTGAAAACAGTTCAATATTTCAATTCCCACGAAATAAATCATTACGTAGATAAAAAGTAGGAAAGTTTTCAAAAATCCTGCATATAACAGGCTTTAACCCCTTTTCCAAAAATCACTGCGTGTCAACTGACATCATAAACATGACCATTAAGGATCCTAACCTTCTGCGAAATATATAACGTTGGTTTTACAAAAAAAAATTTCATGGTACCTCAAAATAATTTTGGCCAAATTCTTCCCATTCACGTATCACGATTTTTAATCAGCATAGCACGTATCATGGATATATGATGAAGCATCAATTTCGGAACTGCGTTACGCGACGGGTTCTGATTAAATGCCGAGAGGGTAACTGTATTGGTCGGAGGGAAGGGAGAAAGGCGGATATAATTGAGAAAACACTTGTCTGCGCGCGGATTTCAAATACATACGATTGGACCGGCAGGAACGCAAGCACTGAACTACGGGGGCAGTGTTGCTTCGCCAGAAGCAGTTCGCAGGGGTTGCCGCTGGTAGGCAGGAGGTTACTAGGGTGGTGGATCGGGTACCGGTGTCGCTCACCGTGCGGCGCCACCTGTCGAATCGAATGTCCGCCTTCAGGGGCCCTTACGAATTTGACATTTTCTGGCAATAGAAATTCGTAAAAACAAACCTAAAACTTGTGATCAATTTGAGAATATACTTAAAAATGGCGTACAAGAGATACACAAACATATACATATAGATATACAAGGTAATAGCGACGAATGAATGTCCTACAGTGAATCACGATAACCAGCACGAATTTATCTCCATGTTTGTTCGATAGAATATTTTTGTCAAACTTACATAAGGGTTTTCTTTACGCTCCGCGGTTTATTCGCTCGAATTAATGTTTCTCGTAATTTAATATATTATGCTAACGACGATCATGCATATGGATCAGTTTATTATGGGGGTGCATTTACAATTTGGTAGGAGAGTGTCGTAAGAAAGTCGTTTTCTGTAACATAAATCCGCGACTAAAAGCAAAAGGGCGTTTGTTTACTTGGAAATCCTTTTGCTTTTAGTGACGCGATACTTAGTTTGCGTTTTAGATTGTGGGATTGTGGGTAAGAGGGAGGTAGTGGTAATTTATTTTTATTACGTTAATCCATATTATTATATACTGAATATACAGAAATTGGAAGATACCTAATTATGAGTGATAATTAATTAATTATAAATAATTATATTGAAATTGTATATATATGTATATATTTATAATGAATTGAAATTGTGTGAGTGAAAAATTAATAAATTTGTCGCATTTACTTAAATACAATGATCTAGTCGCGTGAGGCAAAAAAATATGTGGAACGGTAAGAACCTCAAGTGAATACTATGTGTCAAAAGATTCCAAATAAATTTGTCGCATTGCAGTGTTCTTCTAAAATATGTTAATGGCTTTAGCATTTTTTTCTAATGCATTCCAAAAGTCTAATTGCTTTATGACATTTAACCTGCATTTCCGTTCTCCGGGCTTTTAATACATTTTACATTGTTTCTTATTTTTTATTTATTCCTATATCAACACAATGAACACGTTAACATTTAAATTACAGTGCATTATTTTCAAAATCATGAAAAGTTATCTGACGTATCTTAACTTTATAAGGACGTCAATTTCTCTGTTTTGAATTTTCATTAAGGCACGTCTTTTGGGAATAATATGCAAAGTAGTTGCATAACCGATTATTCCTGTACATATTCACCTGGGAGTCACCCGGTATACGTCGTAAACACGCAAAGCAGAATGCGTTGTTAAAACTTCATTTAATATGAAAATAACCATCATACTTAATAAATGAGAGGCTTGACAAGCTGAATTTGATAAATATAAAATTTATATAAACTTTCAGACAATTTTCCTTCTTATCTTAATCATCCTTTGATTATACCGTATGTTTCCTTCATGTAGGTTAATTCATGATTCATGATAATTTAAAGTGCTAATTTAAATAATCTCATCACTAATACGAATATGGGCTTTTCAATAATTATTTTCAATTTCCGTCTATCTAGCTCATGATATATGTACCGCGTGTTCAAATAAATTTTAATCATCCTCACTAACAATGATGCAAACTTGTTCAGAAGTTTCAATAAACAAGATATACGAGACTAACTTTGGACATTTATTTTCCTATCAGAATTTATTGCTTATTTTCGACCGTATCGAGTTACGATTATTGGAATTTATTTATAATAACTCCACTTTATCTGTTATAAGATAATAGTTCTACAGATGCGTATCAGCCGCACGTTATTTCCATTGAATATTACGCACTAGGTTATTACCAGTGGTGATATGTGGTCTTATAGACCCATATGCATATATTTCTTGTGGTATGAAATAAGGCGGGTTATTTGAATATTCAAAATTATCAAGTATTAACCCTTACTCCGTACTGATGGGTCATTTTTGTCTGTACAATTTCTAAGAATATCGATTTGTCAAAAATTAACGATCGTAGAATCGTCGTATCTCTCCCTAAAAATATTTTTCAAATCTATTATTCTTCTTTATATAGGAAGAATAAAAAGGGTATGAGTATTGCAAATTTTTAAAATACTTTTACCAATACAAAACGCGTCAGGCGTTTGATATACGACTACTTTAATTACAATTAAATATATTTTTAATTATACACAAGTTTCCTTCTAAATAAAAAAAAAATATTATTAAATATCACATGCACCTATTGTTCGTGACCACTGGAGAGCCTTGTTCAAAGAGAAATTTTATTTTTCTTTACATAAAGATATCTGTAAAAACCATCAAGAAATGCTTGATTCAATCTATTCCCGCAGTGATTCAATTGTTTGATATAATTCACCAATTGTCTCAAAATACTGAGAAACAGTACATTGCTGTACGCTCACAATTTATCACTGAAACAATATTGTTCAGAGATCAGTAATGTTCTATAAAATTATTTCGTTGTGGCTTTGAATTTTAATGTAAAAAAATGTATATCCTAATTCGTTTATAGATTATCGGGAGTTTGGGTCAATAATCAATATTTTACACTTTGTTGAAAAAAAAGTCACGCCGCAATAACTGTGTCGTAAAAATTAATGAGAATTATTCACTAGCTTAACTGCCTGATTAAAAAGACATAACAAGTGCTGAGAACATTTTTTTTCGCCAAAATTACTCAATGACAATCATGCTTCTGTATCAATAATGTAAATACTCCTATCAATGACTTAGCCTATCGTATCGTATCGTATCTGTGCCTATATAAGCAGTATATTAACCTGCGTACAAATGCGAATTCGCACAGTACAAAAAAAATGAACATACGTTACTCGCCTGTTCTTTTTCTGATTTTATCAGTGATTGCTGGCACTGGTAATTATGATAAAAAAAGAGATTACTGCGTATAAATTAATATTTTATAAATTTACAAATTATTGATCAATAGTTTTCCAATCTGTTCAGGTAAAGCAGGCTTGACGAAACGAAATGCTCGAAGCACTGTTGATATCAGCGATGTTCCTTATGTGGTGAGTGACTATAATTATTTTTTGTTATATCCTCAATTAATTTGTTAATTATTAAATTATTAAATTGTTAATTTTTTAATATTCTAATTATTTGTCTAGTCGCAAATCACAGACTCGGATGGGAATATAATTTGTACTGGAGTTATCTTAAATTTTCTTTATATTCTGACAACAGCTGGTTGCGCTCACGAGTAAGTTTAATTAATGGTATAATTACGTACTGATACTGATATGAGAATATTGTATGAAAAATTTTGTGAAATATTAATGCTTTGTGTGCATTAAGGAAATTTTACAATTACGTGTATAGTTCATAGTTAATGTTTCATGAAAATATTTAAACACACGTTAACAACTACGATCAGTCAAGTAGTTGGGGAAAAGTGCCTGAGACGGCATTGGAAGTAACACGGCAAAATGTATTCCGTCTCAGACATATTTTTCCTAATCAGATTTCTATATCTTTATTACCTTTCAGTCTCTCGCCAAATGAGATAAAGATAGTAGTAGGATCATCAGGCTTGAACAATGGAACTAAATATAATGTAAAAGAAGTAATTACACATGAAGATTTTAATCCCTTAGAGGAGGATAACTCTAATGATATAGCATTAATAAAGGTATGTGTTGTACAAGAGTTATATAAAAAAATAATTAGAAAAGAAATCAGTTAATTATATGTTTAATAAACGGACAACGATCCGTTATTAGGAAGAGAATTTTCAATAATTTTGACACTTTTCAATTCCAAATAACATTACTTTTAGTTTCAATGCTTTCCTATACTTCAGCTTTTTTCATTTTGATTTTCCTTTTGACAGCTGTCAAGGTACTTGAGATACAATAAAAAGGTGAGACCAATCCCAATACCGGAAATCCAAGACGACGAGAATCCAGTCAACTCGGATGACATCACTTCGAGCAGATGGGTAAGAAAAATTATTAAAAACATTTTATTTATACATATTTTTATTACTTTTTAACGTTTTTCAAGAATTTATAATCCTTTCATTTAGAGTATACTGAATTCTTTAAAGAAAATCAAACAAAAGATAATCGACGCATATCAATGTAAAGCGAGCTACGAACTTTTAGGTATAACAATTGGCAGTGATGTCTTTTGTGCTGAAACAATTCTTTCGAATGTTGACACAGTCGACGTTATTGATACACCGGTAAGTTGTTTTAATGAATGTTCGTCATAAATGCTAACAAAGTGTAAGGGTGAAATAGGTATTGGGAGAAATTAATTATGTAGATAATCTTGTATTATTAGATATTTTTATTCAGAATCTACATATTTTATATTCGAACATTTTAGATTGACAGAGGATCGCCATTGGTGCAGAAATCGATATTAATCGGTTTAAAGGTAATGGGCATGATGAATAAACCGGATATCTACATATCGATTTCAAAATTTGTTCCTTGGATTGAAGAAAATAATACTGATTATTAAGGACTCTGACGATGGCTGCTTATTGAATTACGGACGTTCAGAAAAATTGTATTGAGGTTATACTAATTTGTTTTCTGCTTCGATTGATCTAAATACAATATCGCATTATTCAAAATGATATTTATTTTTAAATAAAATGTAAAACGTCATAATTCTCTTTTAAGTAATTAAATAGTCAAACAATAATGATTGGCTTATAGTTTTATCATTGATGCTATTCCGGTTGCCACGTGTCAGGGGCAGCATTTTAACCTCCAGGCGGCCGGGATTTTTTTGGATGTTTCGAAGTCATACTTTGAAGATTTTTTCCCTTGTAAAGTTCCTAAAGGGTCTAGTGGTATGTGTCGACTAGCAAGTGGCACATATATGTGCCATGCCGGCCGCGGGGGGTAATGGGAATTTTTTTTAGAAATATTGGCACTTGGGGGGTTGAGTGGTTACCTGGAACAGTATTGATTTATATTTATTTTAAAAATAGTGAAACTACCTCTATAAGAGCCGAACAATCCCTTTTTTCACAATCCTTTACTGCGTACTAGTATAATGGGTTCTACACTTTATCTTTAGATATTTATTAGAGTCAGGTTCAGGTCAAGAATTGAGCTAGGCTTCCCCTTAACATTACCCAGGGCTAACGACCTTACGTTTGGATAAATTTTATTCATTCAAAATTGATCACACCAAAACGTGCCATTCCGGCCGCCTGGAGATTAACAAAGGATATATTCTAAACTTGACTGTGGGAACGGTTGTATCTCACTAAATGATATGCAGGTAAACAAAGACCCGATCGTACTCGTAAAATTGCCCTAGGAAAATTTCCCGTTACTGCATTTTTGCCAATGATAATATGTGGTAAGTCAATGGAAATTGATGGAAAACTATTCCGTACTTTCGACAAAACAACATTGCAAATGGTCAATAATATTCGTGAGGGTCGGTAATGAGTTTCAGAATACACTTAGAGAGGAACATAGAAAAATCTATCTACAATATAACCATGCATTTGCGTCAATCCATAAAATTTATATACCGTACAGTGTTACTCACACAAATCAGTAAAAGTATCAAGTGTCTCGCATCCGTAGCTAAAAGCTTCTTCAATTCAATTGTACAGGATATCTCGTTGCATTTCTTTCAATCCGTCGATAGTGTTTCACCGGCACAAAGCAGCATAACCTCACAATCGTTCAGCAGTTTCCATGCATCGCGTGCAGCTAAACAACGTTCACGGCCTTTATCGCGATAGATGTGGATTGTTTCGACGCCATAAAGAAGATCGTTACGAAATAACTGTTGTTTCTTTACAGAACTTCGCGCGCGGAACGATTTTATGCCCTTCATAAAGCACAAGGGCTTCTAGGACAGCGCGAATGCACCAGACGACTGTAATTCATTATCCACATTGAGCGGCATAAAAGTACTATGTTATCTAGGGATATTTGATTTGTCACTGTAATTGAGACAAACATTTCTAACAATACAGACCGGTTTACAATGAGCAATTAATTAAACCACGGTCTTACATACAGGTCTTGAAACTCGCTCAATTTTCAGCAGTGGGGGTAAACGTGGTTTCGAAGCACGGCACATTTTAAATTTTAGTCACAAGCGTCGCTGTGATCGAGCGACCCCTTATCTATCTCACTGTACAATCGGCTGTGGGAGAGAGAAATAGGAACGGATCGCTTGATCGCAACGCCTCTTGTGGTCATGAAGCGAAATGAAAAATGCTTCTAAAAGAAGACTACCCCCTCCAAGGGAGTTGCAAGACCTGTATGTACGACCGTGAATTAAACTATCTCTGGGCAATATACGAAATTACAATAAAGAAATGTTTTGTTGAATAGACCTGGTGTTTTTTATGTTTTACGTAACAGGTATTGGTATCATTGTGCGGATTTCAATGTACGGGCGATAGCTTTTATCTTGTGCCAAAATTTATTATAGATTAAATAGGTTTCTTTGGTGTACGGATATATCGCTAGGGAATCTTTCTAATTTCATCTTCCTTATGGCAACTCGTCTTTTCTTATCTTGTCTAGTTTCTTCTTATTCGAATCGAGACATATTGCGCTAGGGACGTTTACTCCATTGAAGTTACCCCATGAGCGGCTTCTCTAAGCCTTGACCGGATGAGTCGATTTATGAGCGAATGAATCGAAATGGATGACGAGCTCTTCGTTTAGCTTTATACCAGGTTAGTGGTATAGCGTTATATCGATCTTACCATTAGAAGTCATTGAACTTTTGTAACGTTGGTTTATCGTCGTTTTTGTATCTTCTACTTTTTTTTTTATTCTTTAAAACATCGTCTACGTGTATACATATACGTAGATATACTTTCATGCTGGAATGACAACCATTTATTATATGCGCGTTATGCTAGACACTTACATGTTGACGGTCTGACTTGCCAATATGCAGCTGATTACGATCTTGTTTTATTTATTTGATTTCATCTTTCTGAAGACTGTTGCAAAAATACTGTATCGTTGATTCCATGACAATTATAGATCGGAGGTACTGGAGCGTATATGCATACTCATGAATTATTGAATAGAACAACACAGGCATCAATAGTTTTGTTGGTGATTATTATGAATTTTTCAAGTGTAGAAAATAAATTCTTCATCAAGACCGGTGGACCAGAGAGCAAAATTTTGTACGTTTTAACTCGATAACAGTATATTACATTGCTCAATATTTGAAATCAGTATGCATAAAAATGATGAAATAACGTGGGAATCTGGGGAAGCTTATGACGATTTGTTTTGAAAGCTGAAGAGTTCTGCTCAGGTTTATTAGCCTTTTGTAACGAACAGTTATAATCTTATATTTAATTTCTTTGAATCTCTGATAACTAGCAATCCTTTCTGGCAAATTGGTGCTGATGAGTGTGAACGGTATTTACGAAAAATATAGCGTTATTTAAGTGTATGCATTTTTTTTATTAAAATTTGATTATTCTGAGGACGTGTAAATTGTTTTTTAATATTTATTTTATCGCCATTTACATTACAGTCAAAAGATTTCTATTCAATGTTTCAGAAAGCTTGTGTATGATGATTTGTAATATGTGAATATTACGGTTTTTTTATTTTTAATAGATCAGAGTGTTATAACTTTTATATAACTGTGCGGTCCCTTTGGCGCAGAGGATAGCGCGTTGGACTTCTAATCCAAAGGTCGCGGGTTCGATCCCCGCAAGGGATGATTTTGTTTTGAGCAGAAACGAGTGTTACGATTCTAAAAGCCATTGACGATTGTGGAAATACAAAAATTATGAATTTTACAGTAGATATGTGCAAAGCAAATTTACATAGCAAGGTATATTACAATTTTATGTACAATCCAGATTATCCAAATACATAATTTATATACAAGATTGAAAAAAAAACTGAATTCATATAAACTGAAATTGCGCGGACTGTTAAAAATATATGTTTTTCAATACTCACACCTTTACATGTATCATTCAGGACATTATTTTTAGAACTGGAGTAATTTTCTGGACCTCATTATAATTAGCAGTTCCATGTAAATCATATGCGTGCATCGCAGCAAAGTCACGCGAGCAAGAAACATAAAAATAATACGTTTAATTTTCCTGCAAACACATTACTGTCATTCTAGATAAAAGATTATAAAAACATAGATTAATTTTAATTCATGGAAAAGCCATTGTTGTACTAACACTGCCTTAACAGAATTGCCAACTGAATTGGTCTCCGTAAAAAAAGAAATAATTTCTTAGGCTTCGGACATGTATATCATAATTTCAATTTGATACGTATAATCTTTTGAGATTTGAATAGAAGCTCGAGTAAAGTAGTGGGAAAACTAGTACTTTAACAGTAAGAAACTTGGCTGGCATTTGCTCGACAGCCACCGTGCAGTACGGACGTAATTTCGGTAGACGCTGAATTCTGATCATACATAAAATCATTTTCAGTTATTTAATTTACAGAATCAATTATTCATATTTTTTACATTAATCATAACGAGCGAGGAAAACCATTCCGTCATGTTTAACGAATATTTTTTTTGGAAACATTTACACCATTATTATGAAAAGAGCCCTTTTCAGCATGACTCGTCCTATTTTTCCCATAATTCTCATTTCCATCAGAACGATTTCCACGAGTCACTTCTAATACCGACTAGTTTATCGTACCGACTCCTGTATGTCATATGACTGTTTAAACCTTGGAGAGTGTCAGGTATTACGTTCTGCCATGTATGCCTCAGACAACAACAGATGTTCACCGTCTGAATCGAACCATAGCAGTCATACTAATCTTGCAGCACGAAATTAAATTGGTCTGAAGCCACATATAGATAGCAAAACCTGCGGGATTCTTGATAACAAAAATTAATTTAAAATTAATTAAATGCAAGGAAAAATTAATTCTAGAACCACATTGTCTCGTTCGTAAAAACAATTGTGCATAAATTTAACTTGCAGCCTTATGCAATATTTATAAAGTTAAAATTGAATAGAAAAAGAAACAAAAATTTAGTATTAAAACATATGTGACAAGTACAAAGGGTAGCCAATCCCATAAGCTTACACAGCGGTAGTCAGTCAGCCTATCAGAGTGAACGGTTTAAAGAGGCCGCGGCAAAGGTATACGTTCGTAGGCCGTGACGCGGAAAGCCGGTTAGTCGGTCTCAATCCGCCGTGGTGTAAACGTTACTGGAGCGCAGAACAGTCCTCCGTGCACGCGTATCTTTCACTTCCTCTCTTGCACTCTTATAATTAGAACTTTACGTATTTCCTGTAAAGCCTAAAAATTTGTACGAAAGTTTCAACCGTGTGTTTCTGCGTATGTTTCCATCGAATTGCCTTAATGTATATGCATCTACAAATTTGAATCTGCGGCAATATAACACGCCTGCGCACTGGTTGACACTCAAAGGGATTACACACAAGGTAGGTTATGAACAAGTTCAAGTTAGATTCTTATTTACATAAAGTTTTATATAGTTCAACCACAAAGCAAACTGAATTTCAAGCGTAAGCTTGGACTTATTCTTGTGCACTTATAGAAAATCTAATATCAAATCCCAGTGTTTTCCATTGTCATGAGAGAAATGCTTAAGGCTCGATTTCTCCGGCACGGCTCTGGAAATTTTCTTTATCTTCAAAATACAAGTTTCTCATTGGCTAATCGCACAATTCAACTGAGTTTAAACAATAAAGCATGACGGTGGAATCGAGCCTGAAGCAAATGGTGCATAGTTCAAGTTGAACGTTTCGCCAAGGGCAAGTTTTTCAGAGTCACGATTCACCATAATTAGAGGTTTTCGTGTACCGTTGCTCGTGTGAACTACTGCCTACCTAAGTTCTAGCCAGGTATATACGTAACTGTCTAAGCTCGAGACTCGGAATCCTAGTCTCGTGAGACTACGAAGTTTTTATACGTTACTTTGGCCGTTTGTTGTCAATGCGTATTGCGCATGCGTCGTTGAATCCTTGAGACGCGTATAAATCGCGCATGAGTGGTTGCTTATCGAAAGCAGTTAGCGGAAAGTTATGTTAAAGATTATATCTAGACATCTTGAAACGTATCTAAACATCTATGAAGGATATCCTCTGGTAAAATAAAAAAGATAGAAGATAAATGTCGGAACGAGTAAAGAAGCTGTATCACGGTGTCGTACGTTATACCTTTTTTCTACGTTCATCACGAATATCCCGCAGTAGTGAAATTTTCTGTTGCAGGCATCCATTGCCGCTCATGCATCTTGACACGTCTGCTCTGTACGGCAATCCAATGCTTTATACGTATAATAGCGTTAAGATACGAAAGCATGGACTGTACGCAGTGGAAAGTTCTGCATGATATGATTCTTATGAAGTACAGTGAACGCTGAAAACGTTCTTGGCTGTGCTCGTACGTGGTTTAGAATGAGATGAGTCTAAAAGGAGTGATATATAACGAAGTAAATATCTCGATAAAGGGACAAAGAAAAGTTTGAAGAGATTTTACCGAATGGAGAGATCATAGCCGAATGATGTTTCAGATAGAAATGTCGGATTATCCGGGGCAGGAAGTGGAAGATTCTGGGAGGGGCGAGATCGTATCAAACGGAAGTGGGGTGCAGCTGGATGAATCGATACGGAGATATCGATATCGAGGATCGTACGAGCTGAGAGACCTCGAGGCGGCTATAAGGGACGCCTACGCTTCCAAGGTGTTGCAATCCCAAATTGCGGAGCGGCGAGCAAACTTAATGGCAGAAAAGGTACGTGAGAAACATGCTGCCGATTTGATACGAGATCAGGAGATTGATACTCTGGCGGTGGAACGTAGAAGATTAATTGAAGAGTCCAAGAGACGCGATGAGTACAGAGAAGAATTGAAGGAACAAATAGAAGCCAGGCTTAGGGAGACTCTTGTCAGAGAAGAAGCGGATCGTCTGGAGCGACAACTGTTGATTGAAGTTGATCGTCTCAGAGATGAATTGGAAGAGCGTAGAAAGATGGAGGCGAAGATGGCGCTTGCTGTGAAGTTAAGAGCCGAAAGAAGAGTCTTTGCTGAAATTCGTGAAATCCACGAGGATAAGGAACGAGAGAAATTGGCGAATGAAATGGAACGTCAGCGAAAGTATCTCGATGAAGTGGAAAGGAGGACTCGTGAACTGGGCGCACTTCGACGTGAGCGAGTTGAAAGACGGAACTACGTGATCGAAGCCATGGCGCGAAATATGGTCGATTTTGAATCTGAGAAACGTGAGAGGGAAGACGTTATCAGTGAACTCGTTGCCGAGGAGATGAGGTGCGAAGCTTTAATCGAGGAACGAGATCGGGAACTTCGCGAAAGAATGATGAAGGACGATTTGGCTGAGTGCTTGAAAAATCAAATTGAACAGACAGAAGAGAATCGACGTCGCGTACAGGACGAGGATGATCTCTTTGCGGAGGCTGTTATGCTGAGGGTGATGCAGGATGAGAGAGTCGAGAGAATGACGGCGGAAGCTAGGAAACGCGCGTGTTTCCGTTACCGACAGGAATTGGAGTGTCTGATGGAGGAGCGTAGAATGAGACGACGTGAGGAACTGGACCGAATTCGTGAATACCGGAAAATGGAACGGGACTGTGAAATTAAGAGACGAGATTTAGTCAGGACGGAACGCGAACGCTTGTTAATGGAGCATGCGGAAAATATAGCGGGATTCTTAAACAAAGATTTGTTGACCATGGAGGAGCGTCAGAGAATTGAAAAACTATTGAAAAATTAAATTCTCTGAACCAACTACGTTTAATCGTCTGACAGATGAATCGATCTGTTATATAAATTTATGTATTTTGCATACGGGACACCACGACCGTATATTATCCTTGCACGGATAATAGTAAACCAGATAATTTTGTTACAACAGCGAAACATTCATTAGCAAAGCTACAAATTGCATTGGCAGGAAGCATCAGGATATGCAGATTAATTAAAACTAAAAGTGTACAGTGCATTCAGTGGAATTTCAATTAGCACGTGCGAAACAACGCTTATGACATTTATCAGTATTCACCGAGAATTAGAAACGCGATGCTAAGAAGTCTCAAATTAAAACTGAAATTTCAAAAAGCATCGTTACACACCACACACCTGTCGACAGGTGTTGGACGTTTCCCCAGTCTAGGTAGTCACGGTGCAGAGAACACTACCGGAAAGGATAATGAAAATCCATTAAAATTGTTAAAAAAATAAAAAACCACAACAACGTTCCCACGCGAAATTGACAAAGTCGCACGTAAACGTGATAAAATAAAAATTCAACAAAGTTGAGTCAAATAACTGGATTGCTGATTAGAAAGGATCAAAGAAAAGGATAATAAATAACCACGAAAACGAACTGATTGCGAAAGTGAAAAGATATCCATTAGGACCTCGCGTGACTGCTATCGCCACAACCCAATATCCCCCATAGCCTACGTAATACGCATAAGCGTCTAGGTTGCTCAAAGTTAAAAGAGAGACACGGCGCGTTTATCGTGCCCCAAGATGGCGCATTTGTAACTAAATGTGCTCATTAAAAAGATAGGATACCGTCCTGCCCGGTAATAGGCTTATCTTTCGTTGAGCGTAGCTGTATCGGTGCGACTCGAGTGAAGTGTTTAACGTCATCCTTCTCATGATACATCCTCGTGCGAGATATTAGATATTTACTCACGGCCTTCCTTCTCGTGCCGATAAGACGCCCAATAGTTTTTCTTAGGAACCTTTATCTGCTATTGATTCTAAGAATTATTATTTTTTATTTAATTTTATTTCATCAATAATCTAACGGCATACATCTTTTCATTCGAATCGCAAAGAACTTTTGTACCGAACTGTACCGATTGGTCTTCGTATGATTTGTAATGGATTGATCGACCGACTGCAGTATCATGTATGATTCGCTATTGTTTATTTAGTATGATTGTAATTGATCTTTTATGGTTAAAGTAAATTATAGCCGATGCGCCTCGTAGGTTATGTTTGTAAGTTATAGAGGACGTATACAAGATCGGCTAAGATAAATAATTGCTGGTGTACTATATATCTATAACGGTCATAGAAATTTATCGGTAAGTCAAAATGTTAAGATATACTTTTGACTTTTGTAATAGATTTTTTTTTTTTGGAATAATTCTCGAAGCATCGTTCGAAAAAAAATGATATATAAATTTGATGACTATCCTTGTGACGAAGATTTTTTACGAAGACTGTACAAATGCTGATGACGATACGTACTTGTAAAACCAGATTTCTAGTAAAAACGAAAAAAGCTGGTTTTCATGTAAAAATAAATATATTCATAATCTATGACACAATGTCTCTGAATTTTATCCCCATACATTATACCGACACTTAAAGTGTCTCACGGTCATAAGATGCGTGTCCAATTATCGTAAGCGTGACGTACACAATTTGTTACGCATTTAACGACGAAGAAGCTTGTCATTCAATACACGTACCACCTTTCACATAATATTGCGCGAACTAGTTTCGTTCGTAATAATTATGAAATCGTCATGAAATATTATGTGATATTGTGGATATTGGTACGAAATGTTATGCAATATATACCTACAGCATTTTCGCAGGATGGGACAGGCGATATGTGAACGACGTGAAAAATGTATTTTTACATGGTTAATACTAAATTATATCAGTTTCGAGCTCAGTCAGTCTGTCTGTTTGTAGGATGCACACGTACCCAGATTCCAGTTTTGGATCCTAAAAATCGTGCCGTGTTGTCTTGTTCCAAGGGATTCGTTGATTTCTCACAGAGGGACAGATGGAAGTTTTCGATCACTTTGATCAGGCCTACTTTTACTTGCATCTCTGCGAAACGGGCACCTGGAAAGATATTGTGTTGAAAATTGTTGGCGCATGCGCAAGAGGTTTTTTTTTAAAAAAATGCTCTATTTGACACAAAGACAGTGTTTGTTCTTACCGAGACAAAATCTGGGTCCACCGCCAAATGGGAGAAATGTATGTGCAGGTCTTTCTCGTTTGACTTCGTCATTAAATCTTTCAGGATCAAATCTTTCTGGATCTGGATAATATTTCGGATCCCGATGGATCGCGTATATTGGCAAAAGACACTTTAATCCAACTGGCAATACGATATCTGTACCAGGTATCGTGTATGACTTTGTTACTTCTCGCGTGATCATAGGAATGGTTGGATACTTGCGGAGAGTTTCTAAAAATGGAATTAGACATTTTTTTTTATAGTTTGTAATTTTTAATCTTAGGATTTTGTAATAATATTTTTATATATTGGCCACCATTGAATAGTTTATCCAGGTACTTCATGTTTTTTATATTGTCCAACGTTATTATCCCATTGTTTTTTGTTTTTTCACGAAAAATCTCTTGACGCAATTTATTTTGAATCTCTTCGTTCACTGCCAATTCGTGAACGCAGTAACTCAATGTAGTCGAGCTGGTTTCGAATCCGGCCGCTAGAAACGCGTAGGCCTGCGCCGCAAGGAATGCGTCGTTGAATTCTAAAATTTGGAAAAAAAATTGGTTTTCCAAAAAAATATCTTATACGCCAAAAATGATGCCTTAGACGTTACTTTGACTCACCGACTCCATCCTTTATTCCATTTTGCTTTTCCTTCTTCCTCATCTCTCTAAGCAAGTCGATAAAGTCATTTCTCTGTATATTCTTCTCCTCGCGATACTTGAACGTATCCTTAACCAAATTCACTATAAACCCTGTGACCCTTTTCGAATGTACTTTCGCTCTTATAAGTTTGAATAGATTCGGAAATGCCATCTGAATTACTCTTAGTAATCTGATACGTAAAGTAACCTCGAAAACTTCTTTACCGACGGTGCGAAATTCTATGTTCTTATCGTTCAGAGTGTCAATCTGGATACCAAAAACACAATGGCCGATGACGTCGGTCATGAATCTTGCACTTATTTCTTTGATCTCCACCATATCTTTGGTCTTGACGATACCGCGCAATGCACTTTCAAATTCCCTGCTGCAATCTTCCAGCATATTGAACATGTGCTTCATCTTTCGACCACTGAATGCACCGTTCAGTTTGGATCGCATGACTTTCCACTTGACACCTGAGAGATTAACAAGATTTTCACCCAGCGGATCTTCCTTCTCGTTTATAACAATCCCGCGGCTACTCCAGTAGGCAAAGTCCCTCGTAAGAATGGCCCTTATCAGCTCTGGGTCCCTTGCCAATAGCATCGGTGCAAAGAAATACCAGATGCCTGCAAAGCGCTCGCCTTTGAATTTATCGTAAAGTTCTTGGGAATATTCAGCCGGTGATGGTTTTTTAAAAAACGTCTCACTGGCATTCGCGATTAGAGATAAGGATTTATGCGGCACTCTCATCTTTTCCCAATAAGTGGATACAGGACGGTACAGAAAATAGTAAGCTACGTATATACCGATAACTATTAACAGGGGTGTCATATTCGAATTATTTTGTTATTTTTTTCCAGATTTTTTTTTAACCTCGTTTTTTTTTTTTGAAAATTATATGATCACGATTTTATCAGTCCACTTGAATTTTTGGGCAGAAGCACTCGCGTCTCTGATCCCTCGCGCACTGTCGTGCTGTCCCGGATCAAGAGTTCTTTTCAATAGTTTCCGCTGTTAAGCGAAACGCCCTCCAGCTAAACGAATCAATGACTAACATGCAGTTCAAGTGATACGCTTATACGGAGGTTCTAAGGTATAGTCGGTCCACGTGGTCGACGTATTTTTTTGACAGATCTAAAACAATAAAGTCTCTAGTAAGGAACACACGTGGACGCATAAAATGTGTGTTATTAAGTAAGCATACGCGTGATTTTGCAATAAATATATTTTAATTCTTTAATTCAGCATAGGTAAATTTATATAACTTTATAGAAAACGATATTTAATTCACTAAGGACTGCATCGCTTGCAAACTGTCAAAAACCCATATTGAACTCGTGAACCGACCATAAATTCCCATTACCATATTATGCTCTAGTTGATAGTCCGATGTTTTCATTTCTACCTCGTATCAATGCATTCTGATAAAAAAAAAATATAACGAACTGACAGTTCGTTATATAAACAAATAATCTTTTGTACAATTGACTCGATCCATTTAAATCGTACACTCTAGCTGATCCCAACGCTTAACACATTTTGAAAAGAAAAAGTTAAAAAAATTACGTTTAAAAAGTATAAATAAAAAGTTTTTGCATCGAGCTACGCGTTTCTCCCCTATAACGGGTGTCTCGAAATGCATTCAACGATGGGATAAAGTGTACATACGTTACTGTGCATGCAGAGGGTTGCTATAAATTATATGCAAAGGGACGATAGTGGCTCGCAGGGTAGCAGCAACCCCAAGACCAAGGGTTGTTTCGCCAGGGTTCACGCTTGGAAATAAAAAACAAAAAAAGAAACCGGTAGCGTGCCTCTCACATCCGTAACGTGACGTCCGTGCATTAAATGCCAATGCATCACTCGTCGTATAAACGTAGGGGAGTGAACCCCTAATTTATGAGCCCAGTTCATTCAATAGGATTCTGATGGATGGAATCATTTGTTACTCATTCAGTGCTGGCTCTCCGGGCGTGAATCTAGAACGTCGCCCTTATTCTTACAGTGCCATGATTGACTCGGCATTGTAACCTGGTTTGTGTCTACTCCGAGAGAGGGGATGAAAATCGTAAAAACCCCGCCGGTACAATCGCAAGGGCATCGCCCGGACCCACTTTGAATCGAACAAGGACCCAATCTCCCATACAAAGACCCAATTCCAATTTCCTTGACTCCGCTTATGGTGACGTAACGACCCAGTCCATTTTGACAAATAATAATATCTCATGATTTATGAATCTTCATTGTCAGCAATCACGGAGTCATCTGAGGTATCTGTTGATCTTCTTCATCGCATTGGCCGACGGGTAATCGGTTTGAAATTTGCATACGGTTCATAATGGCTGTAGGTAAGAGTTTCGCTTTCCCAGAATGCACCACTCCTTTTGGGTGGGAATGTATTATTGAATTATGGGTTCGTAAGGCGCAGCGAGGAAGCTGGTGGTACTCTTGAGCTCTCCTGTGGGAGCAATCGGTCCATCGGCTCGTGAGGTGGCTTTATGCGTAACGTATCATTGGTCAGAATTATACGGAGCGTCATGGTGGCCTGGAATAATATACGTGCCTGAGCATTTCAACGGGTAGTGTTGCGTGTTTCTAATACATTGACTCCTGAGGCACCTGTTGTGCAACACTGCCTTGCCGTGGGATGATAATGCTATGACGTGATATAGATTAGACTTGGTTAGGGTTACCCTTGTTAAGTATTGTATACGGTTATACAGTCTTTGGAAGATTTTTCGATACTTTTTGTGTGTACTTGAAGTGACGTGTCGGTAAGGTAGATTTCTCGTGTTTTTTTAACAGATTTTTTTAACGACCGCACTGAAGGTACGCGGAGTGCGGGGATTTTCGGTAGCCGACCTTTAGATAAGATTGGACGAGAAGCAGGATGGGAGACGAGTATTAAAGTTTGGTAATTTTTGTAATTAACGAAAAGGGATGGTGGGGCAGGACGTAGGGTTACGTATAAGTCACTGTGAGGTGTCACGTATCTTCGAGGTAATAAAAAAGAGTTTAGTACAGTTAGCCAGACGTTAATCATTTGAGAATTTTGACGAAGGATACAATTGTTATCGTTACGTGTTTACTTATTTTGCTTTTATCAGCAAAAAATTTTATAAAATCCAGCACCCGAAATTTTTTTTCAATTTCGATATTGTTGGTCACGTGTAAATTGTGTTAGAAGCTGACAAACTCACGGATCAATAATCTATTCGGGGACACCGAACGCCAGTTTGATCAATAAAATGCACTGATTGATTTTTATTTTCCGATAAAAATTGAAGGGAGACGAAAGTAAATTGTGCGAAATAAAGGTATAAATATTTATACATAATTATTATATAGAAACTATGCAACTCGTTTATCTGAAGGCTAATCCGTAAACGTATAAAAAAATAATGAGAAATGAAATGAAATTTATTAATTACGAATATCGACGGGGGGTCAGAGCATGCTGGTTAATCGATCACTCTCATAAATATCGCTTAATTCAATAAAAAAAAATTCTAACTGTAAATATACAGATAAAATGTTTAATTAACTTTCTATGTAATGTGAAAAAAACGTTTATAAAAATTTTAGCGTTTGTTGAGTGGGCAAACAGAAACGGGTTGCTGTCTGAACTAAAAATGTAGGTAATTGATTTTTATTTTTGAAACCGGACATTTTGCATTAATTCTTGTTATCCAAGTACTATCAGTTATAATTCTGTTATATTGTCATGTGTGTCAGTCATGATTATATTTTCCCTTAGGAAGTCCAGGAGTCGCACACCTGACTGACAGCTGTGCACGTCACGGATCCGTCATGGTTGCCGGTCACGAACTGCCTACTATCTACCCCATTCTGTCACCATGTACATAGTCATAGTGCCGTGCCATTACTAGACGACAAAGCATACGAGCCGTGACTGTACAAGTCACGCTTGCCAGCATCCATACAAGATCATTTACAGTATCCACTATATCTGAACCAAGAAGACAATTTTCCCATTGCTGAATCTTCGGTTGAATCGTATTTAAAGATAATATTAATGATTTCCTTATTTAAAAAAAAAATCCTGACGTTTCGTACATTGATTTTTTCCCAAAGATAATTCATCACTGTGGGTGGTAACACTGTCGGATGTCAGAGTTCGTTAAACTCATTGTTCGAAAAGTTGAATATCGCATCGTGTATAACGTAGGCGCCCCCATATTCGTCCTGGAACCGGTACATGACTTTGAAACAAGCAACGAAACAAATTGTACACACAGACTCGCGCAATACGTGAAACTTCTCATGTAAAGGAAAGTTATGTAAAAAAAATTATAAAATTAAAAAACAGAAGAAAAATGACAAAATTCCAGATTCCCAAACAATGTTAAAAATAAAAAATAGTAGTAACAATCAGTATTTTTTAGTATTAAAAAAAGGGTAAAATCATTAAACAATTATCAACCTTTTTACCTATAATTATTAATTACATTACAATACGACTAAATAATTTTTTCTCGATATTCATCACTTTTCATCGCTACACGTATTAACACTAAATATACTGACAATTTTTTATACACGTATTATTGGCTTTAAAAGGGTCCAAACACCCAAATGAATCGACCCCTCAAAATTTCCAGCGTAATGGCTGTTTTGAGGATCATAAACCGGACTGTCTCACCAAATTTGTTTATATTTTTTCAATGTTAAACATCCGGTGTTTGCGATGGGCTTAGAAATATTTCGTTAGGTTAGATTAGAGAATTCCAATGCTGTATTGTCCCAAGGTAGTAGTTAAAAAAACCACTTTGCTATTGTGAACGCTCCTTAAATTTTCGTGTCCCAAAGTAACCCTTGCGCAAATTTATATATATATATATATAAGTTTATATAATAATCAAACTCATGAAAAAACAATATAGCCACGTATCTACGTAGGCCGGGGAATGAACTTTCTCGCGTGCATAATATATGTAAATTGTTCTCTAGCATTGTCCAGGTTGCTTAATACGTTACGAATCTTTAAGAGTCGCGATGCGATGCGTGGGCGTGACGTGCGCCGGTTTCTGGCGCCAGGACTAGCTGCCCGCGTAGTATGGGTAATCGTATTCCTCGTTTGCCGACTGTGAAATAGAGCACTGTGAAGGTGATAAATACACGGCGCAGCTCTACCTAGCTATATGTACAAGTTGAGTGAATCCATAAGCAGAGTTGTATAACATAAACGTAATATACGTGGATATAACGGTTGAAGTATACTCATGTGGAAATATAGTTACCGGTTTGGTACCGAAGAAGTGCGTATCTTTGAAAGCGATATTTGCTCGTACAGTACTGGAGGGTAACTATCCATAAAAATATATTTACATATATGTATATCCTACATGGGGGAACTTCTCGGTGTCTATATATACCTGCATATTACACATACGTTGTATACGACTATACGGTGCCTTTGGTATACTGTGAGCACTCAACCATACAGTGCTTATATTTATATCTACGTGAGTGAAGCATCTGTCCATGTAAACGTATTTATTCGCACGGCAGGAAAAAAAAATAACTAACCGCAGAAATGCATCTGGTCATAGAATATGAGAAAGCGCTTTGCTGCACTGAATTCGCGTAAAGGCATATCTGCCCGGTGCATTACCGCAGCGTCTATCCGGTCCGTAGTTATCCAAATGGAAGAGAGGATGATGCTCGTGGAAGATGCGAATGAGCGGCACGCGTTTGTAAAGTCAATTTCGCACTCGGATGTATTGCAGACGTTGCGGGTTCGTCGAAAAAAGAAAAATGATTAATGTACGTACCTCGCTAATGTACAAAGACGGTAATTACTGGTGCTGGTCGACCTTATCGATGTGCCTAATCACGTATTTAGTCAATTAGGGTCTTTTTTCAGCGAAACGTAATTCATTCACTCAAGATTGTTTTTATGTTTACTAGCAGATACGTCGGTTCCGTGGTGTAGCGGTTATCACGTCTGCTTTACACGCAGAAGGTCGCCGGTTCGATCCCGGCCGGAACCACTTTTTTTTTTTAGGCTAATATCAAATATTAAGCGTTGACAACAATCAGAGGATATATGACAAATGTATTCTTGTCGATTATTATTATTTTACTGTTATTTTTTTGACATTGACTTTATGTACGGACAGTCACGCACAAAATGTCTTATTCTCACGATTCACTGTAGATAATAACAGTCATAATAGAAGATCTTTGCGGTTGTAAAGTTGACGAGGTAACGGCAAGACAGATAAGGCTCCGTTAAGACGTAGAAAAATTGCGACAAAGCAATTCGACGCAATTTAGGTAAAAGTAATTAAGAACGAATGTCCGAGATGATTAGTGGTAAAATTAATTTTAATTCTTAAATTGTATCAGTGTTACTTCCACGATGTTCGTGCATAGAGGAAACGCCGGGAATTACTTTTATCAGATATTCCGAATTGCTATTCAGGTCAATTCAATCTTCAATTATTTTTCTTTTCTTACAGATTAACAAACTGTAGACGATCGATCGACTCTACGATGCAGTTGCAGCGATGACCGAGATCCGCTGCTACGCAGACTCCCCCGTACTGATCGAACGTCAGACATTCAACCGGAATGGGAAGGCACTCAGGTGCGATGATCAAAATAGATTGGGCTTCGATCTATTCGCTGATATATGATCTTCAATATGTTTTTACTGATCTATCATTGGACAATAATGCATCAATATTGCACAATGCACGAGATGAAAATTAAATTCGATAACTTATCACAATGCGATTCTGATTATCGTTACAGCAAATAATATAGTTTTAATCGATCTTTTGACAGTTTATCATAACGATGTATGATATTAAAATAATTATAAATTACAAAAATTAAAATCACGAGCTCGATCAATTCAAGTGAAGTACAGCAGTATGAAATATATAGTACAAAAAGTTGTGACATTGAATTATAATTTTTTTTTTTTTTTATTAACTCAATAACAGGTGTCTGTTCCAGGAATTCTAAGAGAAACGTATTGTTCTATACCACGGATTGCGGCGACGAGAAAGAAGATCTTGGGTTGAAATTGCAACAGCGCTCGATCTCCCTGGTGAGTTTCGAAGAGACGTAAATAAAATATTGCATTTTCTTTTTTCTTTCTTCTTTTTGTAAAATCGAAATTCTCCGTGGTCGAAACTTTCGATCGTTATTCGCTATTCTTCTCGTCGTTACTAACTCCTGGCTCTGACTAGACGCTACCATGCAAGGAAACAATTCCCCGTTACGTGCGATGCATCGAATTTCCATAATCCTTCCATGACCTCCGTGCCGAGGTAACCCGTTGTCAGTAAACGCTGTCACGTTTCGACAAATTTCCAGATTCTCCGCCGACTGAACATTCCGCGATCGTAGTCCGAAGATAGCTAAAAGCAGATAGGCATCTTGCGAAACCCTTGTGCAGGTTATAGGACTCAGTGATCAAAGGTTTAAGCGTCTTACGGCTTTACGTAATTTACTTTGATGCAGCCTCTCGTAGTTTTTGCCCAGAACCCTTGCCACGTCTTTGAAGTATTATTTTGTCTAAAAAAAATACTTTCAAAGTAAATGGGTTGATAATACTTAATTCGAGATAAAATTCTGCATTTTTTTTTATATATATATTAAAGAACAATTAAATCTTGGTTGACGAAAAGTTTCGACATAAATTGCCTGAGGCAGAAATTAATGATTTTGAAATCCGATGTTGAGGTCATCTTTGACTTATTTATTTTTGAATAGAAAATCTTAAAATTTTTTCAAATATCTTTAACACGTGATTCTCTATTACTATTATTATTATCGTCGCGGGAACGCTTTAACAGACACGATTTTACAGTTCTTGTACGCCGAGGTTGAACTTAATACAATATTCATTGAACAATTAAGATTCAGGTAATTTAAGGTTAATTGTTAATAGGCACGAAAAATTTTGTCATTACAGTTCCATAGATGGACACGTAGATCTAGAACTATGTGAGATCTATGATGAAACGTAATGAGGGATAATTAAAGCTATGGGGAAAAAGTTAGTAGTGCGCTGAACCGGCTGTCGATCCAGGTTGTTCGCTGAACCAGGAAAACAACTGTGCGAAACTTCACGTAATACGTTTAAGGTTAGATATGAAAAAGTTGAGACTGAACTGGTTTTAATCGATTTTATTAAAAGCGTGAACATCTGCCGCATTGCTTGGATGCTTTCTTGGATGGTTCGTAGGTACCAACGTATCAAGAAGTAGTTTAATTAATTCAAATATGGCGGAACGAATGATATCCGCAAGTGAAGATTTTTTAGTGCACACAAGATATTCAAACCAGTTTGTCATTGTGAAAAGATTATTTAAAATATATATATATATATATATATATATATGCAATGGAGGGACAAAAACTGCTAGCTAGAAATTCCATTATTCTATGTTCTGTAGGATCGGTAAGTGGTACTGGGACAGGTACCTTTGATGCTGTTTTTCAACGAGCGAACATCGCAAATGTTTCGCCTCGCGCGATTCGTGCGCGATAACCGCCAACACAGCCCTCGCGTGCTTTGGCTTTTGTTTCGACGCCTATAAGTTTTTTTTTTCTCATTGCTCAGCCACACGAGAGAATGTGGCGATGCTTGTTGAATTTGAGCATCGCGTTCCTCAAGCAAGCCTTGAGGGTTTCACGATGCGTTTGTTGTTCGAAAGCAATACCGTCGACAGGGTATAGGGGTCGGGGGGCAGCGATTAGCCTAGATAATTCAGGTGATTGGAATATTTTCGAATTCGTGGAAAATTAAAAAAAAATATTTCAAAATATTTCGTCAAAGTAAGTTGATGGAATTTTGGGACTGTTGGGGCCCGATGAAATTTTCGATTTTTAATCTGAACATTTATTTTTGAAATATTCATTCATCCCTGTCTATCTTTCGTTATTGTCTTGCTTAATGTTTTTACCGGACGCTCCTAATGGAATGATCGGACATTAACGCGAGCGTCGATGCTGCTAATTGCTCGTACAAAGTGCAATTACTAGAGTCAGCAGTGCAGCGTAGGTTATTCGAGGTGAAGGTACAGTTAGACCGTGAATCGCACCTCTCGTGTCAGTCGTCAGGTGCCAGGGAGCAATTTTCAGCGACCCTTTATCTGGATTTACGATTTCACAACGTGCAATACTCGCACGCACAAGAAATTGCAGGTAAATATAATTTTCGAATGGATAATTGTACACGTCATACCAAAAAGTTTCGATAATAACCCAGGAAACTAATAAGCTTAAATGTACCATTTATAAACGCAACGAAATATATCGTTATCTATACCGTAGAAAAAAAATTGACATCTTTCTTATTCAATGAAACAAGATTTCCTCTCATCCATCATTCTTATCATCAATCATCATACATATATTAATATATAAAATATAGTCAATGATCGATTCCTTAACTCATACCAATTATAACTACCTTGAAACGTTTTTGAATAATTTGATAATCTATAGAGAGGTTCAAACCAGTTTTTCTTGTATAATAACTAATTATAGATTACTACGTTACTCAGGTATAATTGTGTCGAGATCAAAAATATATATATTTTTTTCTAATTATAACAAGAAAAAAAAACAGTAATTCTTTCCCCGTTAATAAACTCATCGTAGATGGTAGTGTAGTCATTTTCCATAGAGTGTATATATATCTCATGGTATTACCAAGAAGACGTTGATAGGTTTGGCCGGTGCAATGGAAAAGCGCAGAAAGGAGCTATCGGAAACTGCCATAAATCAAACCGTCATTCCGAGGGCTTTACCACTATAATTTCCTATCGATTTTATGCAAGGAACATGCTGCCCGGCCAATCTCTCTCTAGGGTATCTTATACTCATAGTAGGTGTCTGGCGAGCCACGACTGGGGCCCGTAAAGGCCTGTGTTTATGAATACAGCTTGATTGCTTCTAGAGAAGTGTCAGTAGTGTCGCCGATGTCCACCGTCGCGCCACCGTCGCCGTCGGCCATTCCCGTCGTAGCCGTTGTCGTCAACGCACTTAGGCTCTTGGATTAACGAGATAAAACTTCGCTTCTCTCGGTACTCTTACTTCCATCTACATTTAGTCGCTCCACGTGTATCGGATTTAATCACTTTAGCTTGTCTTTCACGAAAGCCACTCAAAACGACCATCTGAAAGCTTTTTTTTTGTTAATACATTCGCACAAATTGTATCAGCAGCTACATTTTGGAGGTAATACATAACGCGATTAGGAATACCTTGCCTGATATTTTTTACTCCCCGTCCCCTCAGGTAGCTTATTTCCTATGGAATTTCAGGCCTACTTTTAACGACGCTCTTAGGAGCCTTCCGACAATTATTTCACGATTCCGTGAATACATTCCATTACGTCTTTTTTCTTCATTTTTTTGACAATTCGGTAATAGTAAAAAATTTAATTACTACCGGTAATTCAGTATTTCGGTTTTTACTTTGTATACGGGAAAAACGCCTGGTAACGTAAAGTTATCGTAAAAAGTAATTGTGATACGTAAATAATCGCAGTGCTACAAGTATCGCTCAACAGGTAAAAAAAAAAAATACTCAACGTTACCGTATCCAACACTCATAATTTTTTTAGACCTAGCACGGCATCATCCCCGCGTAATATTAAAATTCAAAAACACTGTTATTACACGATAGTTTTTCATTTCCATCCCCACTACTTTTCTACTATTACGTATGAATCCAAGAACCGGTAGATACTATTACACCTTACGCGGTTAACCGATCCCGAAACTCGTAATCGCACATGTCCGTACATTCATACGTGCCCACATATTCAAAGTATCAGAGCATATCCCAAGCCTAAGGGCACACAGTCGCCATACTCCCAACCGATATTTCATTTGATCTTCATTTTTCAAAAAAAAAAAAATGGTATCAGTAGAATCAGCGCAACGAAGCATAGAGCGAATCTATATTATTCATAATGTCCAAGTATAAATTTCTTAAAATCATTTCAGTTATCAAGGGTTAATAAAAACCTAGCTACTACAGATATTCGAGATTTTCAATACGATTTACAGAATTATAAGAAGGTATCTATTGTTTGCTTTTTTAAAACCATTTTTTAACACGTGTGTATATCTTACGCCATTGCACCAAGAACAAAGTGACACGTGAAACCAGAACAGTCAGACATTCCCCTTGACCTTTACGGTCGAGAACTCAAGAGAACTAAGCTTGGCCGCGGCTGGGCAATAGGATGGAGTAACGTTAACGTTAACTCTGTACTCTTCTATACCCGGGGCTCCGCTCTGGGATCACGCAAAGCCTTTATCTATACCTACCTTTCTGCCTTACTGCCTACCTACCTTATATCTACCTACCTACCGAACCCACCCACCCATCTAGCCGTCTACTCGTCTACCTACCTATTCGTAACGGCAACAACGCCTATCGCTCCGGCACACACGTGAACCACCTTGAGCTCAGTTTGCCACATATGCGTATAATGTTAAGAATGTCCTATTACGAGTCTATGGGAATGCACGAACACCCATGAAGAAAACAGCGTACGAAATGACTGCTCGAAAATGTCTTATCTTTCTTATCGAGCCTATTATTTATTTATTTTTTTTCACGAGCAAAGTCATTCTCAGAGATTTAAGAGAAATGTTAATTTTTGTTAATTATGAATCTCAACGATTCGCGGAACCGATGATTAATTACACCGTTGAAAGTACGGAATTCGCTTGTTAACGATGTTAACGATGGTGATAACGGTTACGTTGAAATATCTATGTCAAACTTTAACACGGTTTAAATGTCGCTGAAAAACACGCGACTTATTAGCTCAGGGTCTCGGAGTATAAAATTATACAAGAAATTGCGCATGCCACGACAGCATAAGTCAACGTTGTTCTATTACGTTATACACGTGTACAAGTAATACGAGCACCGTTCACGCGATTTCCATTCATCGCCTGTGTCTTTGCGTTATACGTCAAATAACGAAGAAATTTCTGTTCGACACTCGTACCAATATACTAGCTTAACACGCTACTGCGTATTATACGAATTAACGAATGATTGATAATTGACTCTTTTTCTCGAGTTTTATAATAACAAAAACATGCAAATACAATATTCGATCCTCATAACAGTCATCTGTTTCGTGTTTACGACGAAATTAGGACCTGGACCAGGTTCTATTATGCCGATGGTAACATGGGTAATTCATAGCGACGTCACAGACAGCTATCAAATCCCTCGTACAGATGATCATAGCACGAACAGCAATGCATTGGAGATGCAACTCCTGGCGAAGGTAAAAGAAGGACACGAGTCCTGAAAGGATTGGATCCAGCGGCCTCTAGGTGTCCTGGCAACGGTGGGATCGTGACTGTCCCATCAAAATATTCCGAGCCATGCTTCGGTCGGCGTTCGAAGTCAACCCTGAATCATCGTGTTCTCTTTGTCGAGCAGAATAATTCAGCACGAAGCTAAGAACAAGAGAAGTCCCGGATCTGCATTGCTCTGCATTGCCGCGTGGAAGATCATTCGGGTGGGACGTGGTTGTTGTGATCACGGAATCATTGAATCGTCTCACTCGGTTACGTAAGGATGATGCACGCGTATACAGGGTTATACCTGGACATCATTGGCGCGGAGACGTTAAAAAAGTGTACGAATTATGCAACGAAAATGAAATTGACAAAAGAAATCTTACTCGCGCGACATTTTGAGTAAATTGACTCGTTTCAGGGGGGGTGATGAGTGTCAATTCATGTTTTTTCTTTTAGTGTTAACTTTGTGACCTTTCAACCGAATACTCATTTTATCATAATGACATCCTACCAGACTTTCCTCTTCTCGCCAATCATCCTTATGGCTTCGTGTTAATCCAGCTGTTATGTAATTCGTTATTTCGAATTCCAGACTGCTCTGCACACCGGTTCGGGAACGCCGCAGCAGCAATTACTCGAACCCAGGATGGCTCAACTGGAGACCCTCGAGGCTAAGGTAAAATCCCTTTGAAAAATATTTCAAAATCATCTCGGTGCGTCTATCATTTTGTCAGGTTGAACGATCTCTGGGCTCTGGACTAGCTCTTAAGGTTTTGTAATCCGAGTTTAATGATCGACAGGATCAGCGATTGGGACGTCCGAGAAGACACGATTTCGGAGCGACCGATTCTTTGATCTGGAACATGATAAGAAATTCTTTCTCTGGTAAATCACTGACATTGTCAAGAATCCAAAGCAACTATCGGCTTCGCGATGGTCCTTCTTATGATTTATTCTAATCTGGAAGCAGTGTTTTGGAAAACATTTCAAAATGGCCATTTGGCTCATCGATTGCTGAGGTGGAAGAAAAAAAATTAAAGATAGCCTTCCATGGTCATTGGCAAGCAAGCAATGGCCCTCGGGTTGTTGAGGCTGTCCAACCAGTGACTTATATGCAGATGCGTGAACCAAACTCTGTTTCGTTGGGGTCCAACCGGAGGGCCCAGGGCCTGGGCCCCAGCCAAGCAAAGCTACCATTAAAACTGCCCTGCGTCCACGTTCGGTTCGGCCGACGCATTGGCGTAGGACTTCTCCTGGATACATTCCACGTGGGATACCTCGGACACCAATAACAGCGACATTGAATCGAACCTCGAAAATCCAGGGCATTATTGTGCCACATCTTATTTTACGAATTTTGATATACTATTTTTTTATTTTTATTTTTTTTCTCAAAAATACACACGTTGACGTGCGATCGAAAGGACCAAACTCGCTTTGCGATTAGCCAAGCGGAATGCTTCCCACGTTCCTCTGTGTCCGACAGTGATCGATGTGAGTCGAGAATGAAATCCGCACCGAAACGAAAACCTGAATACCCGTAAACTTCCCTTACGGAGAGTCCCAGTCGCCCTTGGCAATTTCTATCGCCCGTCCATCCGTTTCCACTCGAAGTCGCTGCTTGAAAATTCGGACGTTGTAGCTTTACCTTCGATTCACGTAATGTTTACGTCGAGTTTACGGTTAAGCCTAATCGATACGGCTCTGCTGGAGCACGACGTGGAGGACAAGGATACTCTACCGGTAAACGCTCGTGGTCAGTGCTTGATGAATAATAAACGTACGTCGGTCCCACGAGATTACCTTACAAATCCAAGCAGGACCCTGACCAGGTTCTTACGGGTTGGGGTTTACGTACGAGTTAGGTTAGTACGTACGCCCTTGGGTCCCAAGGCCCAGACAGATCTGCCCCACGAGATTGCGGATCCAGGAGTCAGTGCCCTTCGTCGTTCGAACGCCGGTGCCCAACTTTTGCCCTTTTAACGCTTCGAAAAGTCACAGCCTTGCGCCCTTTATCTTTGGTATTATCTTTAATACGTACCATCAGTCTTTCGCATTTCGAACACGTGCCTAAACTTTACATTGCAACACTGCACGTTGTGTCAGCTTTGACATACCTGTTAATTTTGAAAATAATCGTTGATAAATATTTTATATGACGTCATATATAAATTCAATAATATCACCAACGAGTCGTTCCTGCGCAACGATATCACGATAACCATCGTACAATAAGAGTTAAATAATTTTTATTACACATATCGATTACTAATTATCCGAAAATTCCAGCGACATCCGCAGCTCAATGTACAGGTGTGATTAGACACGAGAAGACAGGCATAATACCGCCCTGGCTCGTGCTGATATTCATGGCAGATAAACTAATCGCGACGCCGATTAAATTCTCGTTAGCAGTACCTGCAAAAATTGAAGGTCGTCATTGGGATCCTCGAGCTGAACGGATATCGTCGTTCCCCTTTACCCAGGACTTTCTGTATTTCGCACGACCGGCGGCATTCAGAGGCGAATTCGTATGGTCAATTTACGAGAACGCGTGGAAACGGAAGGGCTGACTTTTCGGTGGAGTCCCGGAACGAGTTTCTTCGTCCACGTGTCTACCTACAGGGCGCTTGTAACGTCTTCCGCACTTTATCCTTTTGTCCGAGGAAACTCGTCGTCGGCATTGCTGCCACACCAAGCAGAGTAAAATTTACCGCGAAATACCGTACCGAATATCCTCTACCCCATCTCGTGGCAGTTGCACGATATATGTACACGTATACAGGGTGAATCACGAATCGTGATCAGTAGAGATTACTTTGTTATTAGCAGTCCGATCGAAAATGTTTTTGAGGCCATAAAGAATGCAAAACAATCTTTTGTTCACCGTCTACGCGAGTGCATTGCAGCTCGTGGACACCATTTTGAACATCGCTACAATTAATATTGGTAAATTTTGACTTGTCAACAACATTGGTTGCGTAATAACGGCGTAGCTGTGACTCTCCTTGTGATACAAAGTTTATTAATTTTCTTTCGAACCGGATGAAAAAAATGTCATGTCCTTACATGTGCCGAATTCGTCTTGAAATCCTCTAATAGACAGCCGTAAAAAAATTATATGTTCAGTTGCAAAAAATTCAAGGTAACCTTGAAAAAACATTAAAAAAAAAGAGTTGACCAGTAATTTTTCACTATCACGTTAAAGCTCTCTTGAAACCATGCAAAAGCTGATAAAAACATTTTCGATCGGACTGCTAATAACAAAGTAATCTCTACTGATCACGATTCGTGATTCACCCTGTATATATCCAACGGAATCATCAGCAATTTTCTCAAAATTATCCACGCTGTTATCTTCATTACATTCGACGCGTTACTCTACATCCTCGAGTACCTGTAAAAATGCACCTTTCTTGTTATCAATATTTTACTAAAACATTTTTTATCAATCTGCTAGATTTCTATCAATGTACTATAAAACTTTTACATTCAACAATCATTAAAGATTATGTTCACTGCTTAAGACGTTGCTCGAGACCTTGTCTAGACTAACGAACGATATGGGATTCTCGCGTGCGTTAGTCCATGCGTGCGTGCTCTTATTCGTAAAGCCTATGATTCAATGGGAAACAAGAGTGGCTCGTTTGTCGTTCCCAGGGTCGCTAGAAAGCTCAGAGATGACCGAGAGAGAGTAAGGAATAAGAAAGAGAGATTATTATCTGTAAGACGACAAACGAAGTGACTACTTTGACGGTCTCTCATCCTTTCCGTGAAAGTGCAGGACTATAGCTACTTGATATTTGCTCATTAAATTTTCCAAGTGAAATCTGTACATACAACGAAAAGAACGGTGTACGAAGAAACAACGATTGAGTAATTACGTAAGACAAGCATAACAATTGTTGACGGTCGGGAGATATCTTTTCGCTGGGACATATATACATTACGTACCTACAGTTATACGAGATAATGCAATAATATATCGTAAGCAAAAATTTAGAAACACGTATAAAAATTTGCGTCCTAAAACAGTGCAAAAAGTTTTTCTAACGATCGATGAATATCGGATACGTTTGTTTTGAGATTTAAAGAAATTAGAAAATTCTTATGCTGGATATCGATATAAATTATACTGTATATCGTATCGGATATATCCATTGAGTCATTCTCGGAATAGCCTATGGAATTCCGTATATGCATATTAAAAGGAAGAATGATGACGCAGTCGATAGGACTTTCAGGTTAGGTATATAAGCGAGAGTCGCGGCTAGCATTAAATGTTCATAGATAGAAGATTCGAGCTTTCTCGTATACGCGGAATAATGGGATTGCGTGGCTATTACCTGAATGGCAGAACCGTATGCTTTATCCAAGAGCGACGAGCGGGCAGTAAATCTTCTACGTGATAATTCTATAGCCGGGTGTCGGCATGCCGCGTTACAGGATGGTTTAACCAAACCAACGACCCGAAGAAGGGAAATGTCATAGAGTGCGTTGAATTTCCGCAATTATTAATTTTAATAAAGATTACATGAAAATTGCCTTGATTCACGTACCGCTCGTATTTACCATCCTTATGCAATATATCAATACGGTAAATGCATACCGAAACGATATCAATGCTAAACAGTTTTACGCTGTACGTTGTAATTTACAAATGAGCCATACCCATTGCGTACGTCGTCGGGTTGCAGATTAAAAGTGCCAAGTCGTTTATACAAATAAATCTACCGGTTGGCATTAATCGAGTAGATACTTCTAAAAGGTTGTGAGTATAATGGATTATATTGTAATTGATCGATTTATCCGTAGCATGCAGTCCATGTAATCCAATAATAGTATATTTTCTGTATGCATTATATCGCCGTGATAGATCGGTTGGAATATATAGTTGTGAGCTTAAGTATATCGTACTCTCTTGATATCCATCTTGGGATGCTCAACTCATCTCGTTTTCTCTCAATCGTACGTCGCTCTTGGGTCGTGTCTTGTGGCGGATATGTTAACCTTGTAAGGATGGGTGTACGAGGTCAAAGGCATCATAGACTATGAGTATCCATTAACGGAGAGCCGTTGTACACCCACGACCATAAATCATAGATTTAACGGAATATTAAATTCATACTCGACGTTGCTTCGATGGGATACGGCTTCAAATCCGATTTAAAGTAACGTAATAGAAGTTTGCCGCTATATGTATATTAGTCGAATAGGCCGGGTCATGTAAATTTCATTTGACACTGAGTGCCAGAATTTTATGGAAGAGGATTATTCAGAGTCATCCTTAAAGGGCTTGAATTCCGTTGAAATAATCTGAAACAGAAAAAAAAGTAGTTTATATATCTTTGATAAAGTTTAACTTTTGTACTAGTTAATTGTTTAATAAAATTCTGTCAAGAATTTTGATCGAGTTTCATATTTGATGTGCTTTTTATTAATTAATTGTTTCTCTTGATCGATTTGAAAATGTTAGAGATATAGTATGTTGGTCTAGATTGTCAGTTGCGATAAAATCGCGACAGAGATGTTTACAGATCTTTAGATGTTTTTTATTTTCAATTGCAAGAACAGGCCGCAACACTCGTGCGAGATAAATCCCTAAGACGCATTTACGATTATTCTGACGCGCAACAGACAGCCATGCGCAGGATCAGGATAAGACGTTTAATTAGAATTGGATTAAATATATAAGTTTGATATAATTTTAAGCTAGTATGAAATTGAATAAGCTTAACTTTCAAATAATGTAAATCTATTTGTACGCTTCTTGAAGATATCGAGAATCGAGCGTTTATTCGTTTGTTTTCGTATAGCGCGCCAACGTCAGGTACCTCTCAAGATGGCGCACGTCGAGTTTAATTCTATTCGGTGCGCGACAAGAATCAGAAGTCAGTGAACGAAGACAAACGGTCGGCCAATTACCATATTCAAATATGGCACAACAAGCTATAATACAAACTTCGAAGCCCGGACCTTACTTACCCTTTGACGACCTCCATTTGATTTGACGACATTCTTCCTGAATATTCTTGCAGATGGCAAGTATCGAGGTTTCGCTGTCGACTACGCCGAGACGGAAGAAAGGCGGGAGCGTTTCCGGTGGCGTGACGTCACCTGCAGGACCTCGCACTCGTGATCATTGCAAGGAACTCGACGCACTTCGTGTTGCACTTCGCGATAAGGAAAATATCATACAAAAGTACGAAACTTTTATTTCTGCTCCGCGTCGTTTAAGGTTACACGTCATAAGGGCTGTACGTGAAGTTGGCTCTGTCGTTAGGATCAAATGTGCGCGCTACTTCACGTGGTGCATTTTCTCCTATGAGTATAGGGTTATTTAGAACTCCCATTGAAAATAACCCTATAAACATAGGGTTATTAGTGCAAATGTATCATCTGAAATTAGTGCATTCGTGCATTTGATTTTTCTAGTAATGCCAACTTCAGGTGAAATATCTGTTCTGCACGATGTACATTAAAGCCCTTCAAGCCGTTCACACGCAAAATAACGTAACGAGACGGGGGTACTAGATTCTGATTGGTTGGTTTCCTTACGCCTACGTTTCACGTCGTTATGTTATTTTGTGTATGAAGGGCTTGCAGGATCAGGGGCTATGATTCAACCGGAGTCAAATTGACAGATGAAATGTGTCGCATATCTTATATGTATTAGTGAACTGTAGTACAGGTATAAATTCAATGTATTTCAATTTTTTACGACTCTGGTGGAAACAGCCATAAGTATATGTAATCACAAAGAAAAAAGAAAAAGAATTGTGTACGTTTGATGATACTTTGGGCAAAGAGAAGAAATTACATTCTGTCAATGTGTAGAAAATATAATGGGAACTATAAAATATAGTTATGGGAAACTGTTTTCGCAGCTTAAAAGGGCAGCTGTGCAACACCCTGAGCAACCGGTTGGCATTGCGTAATGGAGCGCCGCCCTTAACGGAAGCTGACAGAAAAGCGACTGAGGACCGTCTTCAGAGATTGCGTCGTGACGCCGACAATAAAAGATTGGCTATTAAGAATCTGAAATTGGCACTTGAACGTCTGGATATCACGGAGTGAGTAACTTGTCAAGTTTCTCAAGGGAATTTCCTATCTAATATTAAAATATTTGATACGTTGATCGTCACTTAATTAACAAAAGCTGCATCTTTTTTTAGATGAAAGAAATAGTATATAGCTGTATCTGTAGTGGATAATGTTAAATACTGCTACAATCCCATATGGTCTAGTGGCTAGGATACCTGGCTTTCACCCAGGAGGCTCGGGTTCGATTCCCGGTATGGGAAATTTTTTTTTTTAGAATATCTTTTGAATATAAAGAAATTATTCTTTTGCATTACTCATAGTTTTTGTACAGTTATATAACTGCCACTAATCTCACAATTTTCGTGTGACCCTCCACCTATTAAAATCTATCCAAAAGATACACCGATGAAGTATTATTGTGATTCTATAGAATTTTTGTCTTTCCTCTTTTATAGCAACATTGATATTCGGATTCAACAAGCAGAATTAGAATATCGATTGGGACGCGAGGAATTGGAGCTTTTAACATTACGCGAAGAAAGTCGAGCGCTTCAAGCAGCCTTGGAGTTGGCTGAGACTCAAGAAAAGCAGAAAAACGACACTGTATTTAGGTAATCATCTATAATACAAACATTTAAGCAATATGGTAATTGATAAGCTTTACACGGTAAACTATCATTTGCGAAAACAAATTAGCTATGTGATTCGCATAAATTATTCATGCAATTAGTACGAACCACACGGTCTCTCGATTCTCTTAAGCAGAATCATGATTCTCTTTAAAAACACAAAATATAATTGTTTACAAGGATCGCAAGAAATTTTTACTACAAAATGAGCATTACTTGTCAATGCTGTGTTTTAACGAGAGACTCGCAACGTTGATTTTATGGTATTTCACATAGTACAAGGGTCACTTTAGCTTCTGAAGCATGAAGTGACGCGTCGCCTCGCTGACTCGTGAACAGTAACAACGGATTGTATGAATATCTCTTTCCGCTTTTCAGTTGTATTTCCGGTTCTACACAAGTCACCGTTCATGCAGTGGAAATTAGCGCGGATCCAAAAAGTCCCCGCTTTGGAGCAGGACCGCGCGAGGACGCAGCTGGTCTTTACGTCGACTGGGCTGTCGAGGATTCCGGTCTCTGCAAAGGGGACAGGTTCGTCACTGTCAGCACGATTATCCATACGATGCTCCTACGAGATACCGCGACTTCACGGAATAAGCAGAACAGGGTGCATGACCGAGCGAGAGCCATGTTATCGATTTTCATGTAGCTTCAGCGCACGTGCTATTTCCAATGGATTATTCTCTTATCTTCGCCAATAATCTAGTGAATAGTAATAGAACTGTACGATGGAGTAGTATTTACTTTATTTATACCGTTATAATTTTATACGAGGGTTTTCATAGATTATAAATCATAATCTTAGTATATCGTATAGGAGATAAATTCGATTAATCGTTGCTGTACAATAAATGCGCACCAGATAAATCTGATGATTTTTAGGGCGTCCAGTGTATACCAGGGTGAATCATGGTTGCACTAGTGTGAAAAGCCTAGTGTATACCACAGGTAGCTGTCGACAAGAACAATGGTGTAATCTTGGCATTCGGTTCCCAAGAATCGTTGTAGCGTAAAGCAGCACCGGAAGTTCGCCATGTGCCCTCGCTAATTACACCGAGCAACTTCACATGACCCCGTATCGTAGCAAGAGAGCTAAACTGCTTCAGCAACTTCCATTTACAAAAGTTAGATTCGAGCCTGCAGTCGAGCACGATTAACCTGAATCGTGTTCGATTTTAAATCAGTTATGCTATAATAATCCGTTTAAGACTAATGATGCCAATTAAAAGTTGCACTACCTGCTTCTGAGATTAGAATGCGATGGACGTTGAGATTTTCATTGATAGATTACAAATTTAAAAAATTCTCGGGTACAAATTTATATGATAGACAAGGAAAACGTAAGACCAGTTCATTAGATGGTAGATGGATCTGACGACGTGGTCTTTACTCTTGGACGACTAGTATCCTTATACGCATTTAACTGAGTACGTTGACTGATTTTCAGGATCCTCGAGGTCAACGGAAAGCTCGTGGTGGGGGCAGGCAGAAGTGACCTGGCGCGACTGCTGGCCGTTGCCCCGGATGCGGCGCAAATTGTCGTCCTTCGGAAGGGTGAATCCCTCGCGGCGTTGCGCACCCTTCGATCAGATAACCTCAGGCTGACTCACAGAATCGGGTATCTCGAAGAACAGGTTCGCGATCTTTTGGCACCAACGAGACCTTCGATTCCTGCGGATCCACCTCCGTTGCGTCAGGAACACGTGCAGGTATTATGCATGCATTCATGCAGGAAGCTTCCTGTAATTCAATTCGATTAACGCTCCAATCGATTTCACGGTCGATTGTATAATATTGACATTAAGAAATTATAGTGATATGTGGAAATTTTTTTACCTTAATACTATTTGTTTTTTTTTCGTTTAAAATTTCCTTCGTGGATTTAGATGTGTCCTAGTACCTTCTAAATTAGCAGATTTAAGATTGTTTGCTTCAATGTAATGTAAATGTCGCACGGGTTTCCAGGTCTTTCAAAAGGGGCCTCAGGTCACTGCGCTGGTTGCGAATCTTCCTGGTCTTCATGTGAAGAGCCCTACGGAATTGCGTCAAAGTCTGCCGACAGTACGCGGTAGACATAGCGATCATTCCAGGCGATACAGCGAGTTACGGAATCCAAAAGATTTAGATTTTTCCACGGATGGGATCTCGAATGGTCATCATAAGTCACGAAGACAAAAGCATCAGGGTTTCAATTTGACAAGGTCCACGGCCAGTCTAGATTGTAAACAGTCTCCATCGCAGACGCAGACGCAACGAAGACCACCCCGTGTTGAATCAGCTATGGAGCATCTTCAAAAAATTCGTCGAAATGCACCGTCCCTTCAATCTCTAGAATTTGACTCAGAGCCCACTTATTACAGATTACAGGTATACACGGTAATTTTATTGATAATTAAATATTTATAACCATTTAGAAACGCTAAATTGTAAAAGCGTCTCTAATATCATTGCAGGATTCTCAATCGAGAGCTTCCGAACATTCCGAAGCTTCAGCCATTTATAATTCACAGGATACTAAAACGCGTCCTGCTCCTCCTAAAAAGCCATTGCGACTGTCATTACATCGGGCAGCTAGTTTACAGTCCGTTGAAAGTGCACCACCGACCTCAGCTCACGAGCTTCCGCGGAAACCTACGAAGAGAAATTATAGGGGTGATCCACCCCTTGAGAAAAATTCCCGAGGAGACGGAAATTCCGAAAGTAGCCGCCAGACCGATTCTGGGTGTACAAATCCACCGCAACCACCACCAAGGACGCCGTCCAGGGCGGAATCATGTCAGAGTGCTTTAAGGTGGCCTTCGCCTAAGCCAAGACCTCATCTTGCTCCTGTTCCTATGGAGAAATGGTGCTAAATATTAGATAGTGTTACAAGTCAATTTTACTCTGAAATTGATTACCGAAATTTTTTAGATACAATTTACAAGTTCTATTGAAGAGTATCGCGAAGTTCGATTAATTAACTTAATAAAATTATTAATTGATTATTGGGGATTGGTAAACTGTAGTATACCGAACACGTATGTAGTTTAAATTTGGTTGTACACTGTGAAGTTGAAGAAAGTCATTATACTTAATTTTTAAACTTACAATAATTGGAATATTATATAGTAGTTGAAATGTAGCCTAGTTCATTGTTTCAATAACAATGAAATATCAATAAGTTATATTAATAGTTTGAGTAAACAGGGAAACTTCATTTTCCTTGTTTTGAGATCTAATAGTTAATTCGATAACGAACAATTTTTTTATGCAATAATTTAGTAGAACCCTTGCAGCGAGCGAGCGTCCAAATTCTTTTTTAGAAAGATGCGACTAAGAAATAATGACATTATTTGTAAGAAGAGCCAAGCCAAGACAAGTACATTGACCATTAGTAAAAAAAGCAGTTTGCGGCTACATGATTTTCATTGAAAGCATCAGTGTCCCGTCTGCTATTATTAATAAATATTAATCATGGTAACTTACTACAAACAAGTAAGCTTTATAATAGTTATGCATTATTACTGAGGCATTATTGCATAAATAATTTTCTCGACTAATACAAAATGTACAAAGTGCAATATCCTTATGCGTCAGAAACAAGATATTTTAGATGACACTTTAAAAATGACGGACTGCAAAATGCTTTAGCATTGTAAGATCCTTGCCTTTACACTTGCCCTTTAAAAGTATTTACAAAATATGTATTAACGTATAGTTTAATATAATGTTAATGACAACTCGTACAAAGTACGTTAAGCGTGCACGCATATAGACTACACTCATTAATTTATCGTTATTATGTGAATAAGATATGCAAGGTACTATTGTGCGAGTAATATTGAACTGATGAATGAATGTCGTCATTGAATTACATCACGTAAATTTATTTTACAATGCCAGATAATAAGAACGTACGTCGTATTGCTTTTATGCTATTACGTATCGTGCATACTCAAAACGATATTAAATTGCTTTATTTTCATGTAATTTAATGATATCAATTCAAACTCATTTTATGTATGCCTGCGCTGAGAATATTTCCCAGCAATTATTTCTTTGGTGTAACCAAGTATAGTATAACTGGGGAATGTCGTATAAGTTGAATAAATTGAAAAAAAATATAGAAATGGTTTTATTCACTTATACCTATTATTAACATTATATACGAAGGTATGTTATTTCGCAAGAGCTTTTTGGCACAGCCGAGCCAACAGGCTGTGCATTTGTAGTAAACTATTAATTCCGTCGACAATGCCTAAGTGAGTGATTCCAATTTCCTATAAAAAGAATCATAGTTGAATACTGATCGATTTATTATATATTATATTTTAGTTTATTAGGTTAACTTAATGTTTTGATCAATCTTACCTGTATGAAATCCAACTTGAGTTTTTCGTCGATCGATAAATTTTTACAAACACGGAATATGTTGCTGATAATATCTTCTGCTGAATATCCCATTTTCCACAAGTATTCCATTATCTATTATTTAAAATTTCATCGAGATATATACATGATAAGATTATAGAACTGTCAATCATTACTTCATAGATTTGTCTCACCTCGTAAGCTTTAAAAATGTCTGTCTTCACACACGATTCAAGCATGTCTTTTACTAAAAGCGGATGGGGTTCGTCGCAAACTTTGAAAACATTCTCACTATTTACGTGTCCAAATCCATTGTAAGTTGATTGTAAGTTATTTAAAGCTTGACGCATGTCACCTTGTGCTGTGAATACGATAGCTTCTAGACCATCATCGGTGTATGATATCTAAAGAACAACCAATTTAATTTATAGAATGCTATATGCTACTTGTTTTTATTATTGAATAAAATATAAAACTTACCCCTTCCATTTGGCAAACTTGAATGACTTTGGCTAAAATTTGAGCATCGGTGAGCTTTCCATAACGCAACATAGCACAACGAGACTGTATTGGCTCAATTATCTTTTCACTGTTATTGCAAGCTAATGCAAATCTTGTTGTATTACTATAAATCTCCATGGTACGCCGTAAAGCTTGTTGCGCACCATCCGTCATACTGTCTGCTTCATCCAGGATAATAATCTTATGTTTTCCTTTTGGAAGATTCACCTAATGATATATAAAATTAAGTATTTCTTATGTATGATTGCATTCATTACACATAGTGGAATAATTTACGGACCTTTTGCTGAGCAAACATTTTTATTTTGTTTCTAACAACATCGATGCCTCTATCGTTAGAAGCATTTAATTCAAGTACAGCATCCTTAAATGCAGGTCCCAAAAGAATACGTGCCAAACAGAGAATAGTAGTAGTCTTTCCAACTCCAGGAGGTCCAGCAATTATTATATTTGGAGCATTGCCATGCTGTGCAAAAACAGCTAACCGTGACACAGTATCTTTGTTTCCAACTATATCGGAGAATACTTGTGGACGATACTTCTCTATCCTAAATAAGAAAAGAAAATATCTTTTCACTTAATGGTAAAATTGTTCCATCTCTCTCATAATACATCTTTAATTTCAGTAAACTGTTATATCTGAAACCCAACACTTATTAATACATAAAGAATAGCAAATGACAAATTGTATATTAAATGTATAAAAATTTAATAAAAATAAAATTACATTTGAAACGTATTTCCTATAAATTAGTTTGATAATAAATAATTTCAATTATAAAATTCAAATAGCGTTTCAACTTAACAATACTTAACCTTACTGAAGCAATGTGCATTTTTTATTATGAATACACGGCATTAAATATAACACTCAAAAAAACTTACCATGGTATATTTGTGGATTTATTCGGCTTTTCTTTATTAACTTCGTTAAGCTCACTTTTTGAAGGAACAATATCAACTTCCATCGTATTTTCGGCATCTTGGTCTCCCGCCATATCGAAAATTACCGCGATTTTAAAGTAAGCTAACAACCAACAACACCACTGCGCAAACTCCAGGCAACACTGATCAGCTGTGCATTTGCTAATAAATAATAATACCATAATCAAAATAACACAATACACCAAACTTCACATCATCGTCTGTCAAGGCGGCAAATTCTGAAGTTTTTAACTTAACCACTTTAATTCTTTAACAAAAAAAAAAAGTATTTCAATAAATATAATAAGAAGTTCAACTATGTGATCATACGTTAACGCGTATTAATAATCCAATTCAAAATGTTTGTGAATTATTATGTGGAAAACATCAAGGAGACTGATAAATAGTTGCATTCAATGCGTCATGCGATGCGGTCGTAGTAATGTCGACCTGGAGGAATTAGAAGATATACCACAGTACGACGTTCGTGATATACCAGGTAATTTAAACAAAGTCTATTTACTCTTTCACAGAATAACAAAACGTCACAAAATCATGGCCTATAGAATTTTACAAATATAATACAAATCTGTTCGCTGCTACTCATAGGCAGTCTAATTAAACATAAAAAATGCTCGTTATTGCTCCACTCGTCCTTCTATAAATATAAAATAATTCCCCATGCCAAATTGTATTGTACTTTCTCTACAATTCATATAACGATCCTAGTCACGCATAAATGGTAACCTCTAAGTGGGTGGAGTCGTAGAACGAAATCGATAATGCGTAACCAGGTCAATGCGTACTTAGAACCGTCTCATCACTTTCTCATCCTTTTCAATTGTCTATAGTACATTTTCGACCACAAACATTCAACACGCCGATATCAAATCGTCAGAACGATATTCATCAGAGACCTAATACACCATGCATAAGAAGAAACTCACCACCAGAAGTCGTGACAAAGATGCGACAAGCCCTGGAGGAAATGAACGAAAGAAAACCACGTGTCGTCGAAAAAGCACGAGGGGATCATGAAACTGTATCATCCATGGAAGTTTGCAAGCAGTCAAGATCATCGTCCATAGACGAGAAGTGAATGAAAATCCATTTTAATATCTGAGCGTCCTTAATTTTTCTATAATTATCATCATCGACGTAATCGAGAATGCGATATTACCTTGTATCGTGAACTTCAATCAGCTCCCTTTATATTCGAAATCATTTAACAATTTTTATTACATGTAACAAAATTCATATCAATTATGTTTCTTCATTGAACGGCATATCATTGTGCCTCGCATTATATGTTTATCGTTGAGTCATGAAATTCTAATCTTCTTATTGATGCTTTATTGATGAAGACGTAGTCTCAAGGAAATCTTGATTGTCTATATATTTAAGTACAAAATCTAACGTAACGTCTTAAGAATGCTAAAGTGTGCAAGATGGATATATATTTAATTGGAGTTTATAAAAAACCAATAACACCACAGGCCACACGAGCTCCGGCTGATCCAGTATTAATACTATCTTCTGTTCCACCTCGACCAAGATCATCAGGCTTGGCATGAACTACTAGCGCTCGACCGATTGCTCCTCTTGCGCCAATCAATGTCAAATAGTGATCCATGCCGTCGATGTCTGCTACTCCATCAGCATTTACTTCAATGTTACCCAAGTCACCCACATGACGTAGAGGGTCACTCGGTGCGCCATGATTGACCTGAACAATTAATCATTCATTTAATTACATCAGAACATACATGCCATTCTATAATTATAAAGAGTTCTGGCATAACTTCTATTGCGGATGTACTTTGGTGAAATGGATTATAATCAATTGCCGATAATATCTAAGAGGGTGAATATCTAGGTTAAATAAATAGTCGAAAGCTTGTAGCGATGAAGAGTTGTATCATTGCCAGTGGCTCTCAACTTTTTGTTCTTCTAAGGGATTATTTCAAAAATACCTTGTAGGGATTGAAATGAGCCCCTGCTGAGGTACATCCATTTCTTAAGTCACCCTTTTCGTGAACGTGCAAACCATGTAAGCCTGGAGTTAAACCGGTTATTGTTCCTGTCACCCTGACGCCTTCAGGTCGTTGCTCCAGAGTGAGGACACCTTTAGGTCCTTCTGTTGGTGAACCATCCTCCCCTAGAGCCTTTACTTCCACGACAGCTTTTAGCCCGATTGCCTGAAACGTGCCGTTGAATATCTTTTTATATTTATGTTTATATATTCGCATAATCTGACACTCCGTTAGCTTAAAGAACATTTGATACGAAAATTTTGATAAAAAAACACTTTAATCAACTTCAATAAGAAAGATTGAAGTGCGCCACTCAAAATGTTATCAATATACGGAGAAAATGGTTGCAAGTAATCGATAACAAATTTTATCATATATCTAATAGTATATATAATTTTTATAAGTTTATAATGAATAAAAAAGGATTAAGATTAAAAAAAAAAAGATTTTGCTAAGTGTGGGGTTCGAACCCACGCTCCCATCTGGGAACCAGAACTTAAGTCTGGCGCCTTAGACCGCTCGGCCAACTTAGCTTCGAGTCTCGTTCAGTTTAAATTGTATATAGTCCAAAAGAAATATTTCGATAAATAAATTTAAAATGTGTACTTCTTCGGATAATATATCCTGCATACTAATACGTCTTTTGAATCATCCCTACTTAAAGTATAGACAATGGTTTGAGACATAATTAAAAGGTACTATATATATTCTTACAAGCTTGCAAATGTATATACGCAGTAAACAATAATTACTGCTCAAACTAGTAAACAATTAAAATTTGCCTTTGCATCGAACCAAAGTAAAATAAATGTATTGCATAAAAACTTGAAATTCAAATGTACATTGTTCTAGGTTCATTTCGTTACGCTGTATGGTTACGTTAATACAAAAAATAACTGCATTTTAAATCCATTGAAAAATTCCTCCGCAATTGCACACAAGCAATAACGTCGCACAAGAAATTCTTCTACAATACTTAGGTCAAGATAAAAAAAACCAAGTATACATATAAACTACAAACCGTATAATAATTTCTATACTTTCCTCCGAGCAGAAGCATAGTACTACAAAACAATAGAGAAATTGTTATTTGAATTAAACAAAAAAAATATACGTACAAAAAGATACGGTTCCATGTAGACCTCATAAAGATCACTCCTTGTTCCCGGATATCCAGGAAGACTCCTGACGAAAAGCGTCCTATCATTAATGTTGATCATCATCCCTTCATAAGGGAGAGCAAACGCTTCCCAAATCAGGCACAAACCGATAACGCAGGAAGTCACGAACCACATTGTTCCCACTGACAAAAAAAGAATCCTGTTATCGTTATCGGACACCCTTCACCAATTTTTTCACCGTTCCACGTATTTTACTGTTTCCGTGTAATCCAACCGAAAGTCAGTTATCAATCCTTCACAGTTACGGTGCTTTTACGTAATTCCCGTGGTTCGTCAAGTGGACGAGGCGAACGTCGTGTGAATCCCGCAGAGACGCGCACTACGTATAAATACCTCGAAAGGACTTACGAGGACCTTGATCATCGATGAGCAAGTATCGACGATCTTGGAATTGACAAGAATCCTTCGATTCGATTTTTCTATATTAATAGATATAGGTATATATATACTTGGATGAATCCAGTAATCGAATCGGCTGATTGCGACTTATCGTATCCCTAGTTAAATTTTCGAATGACTCGAATTTCTATATCGAAGTGACTTACAGCCTCCCTACTTGAATACAGGAACGTATTCTTACCTGCAAAATGGCGTCTAAGTGAAAGCAAAGAAAACGAATGGATGCCTCGGGCTAACATCCGTCAGGCATGGTGCACTGTGCACGCACGTATTTTATTGCAACTGGGACAGCTGTTGATATGTTATATAATTAAAGTATGTTGAAAACTTCTTGGTAATATTGCTCAACTGCATTGTACTGTTTTGATTACTATTTTATCATTCGCCATTACTTCAGGTACTCTTTACAGTGGGATTCTTGCATTTTTATCACAGGTTAGATATAAATTTAGATATTTGTATAATAAATAACAATTGATATATGTACATCATTAATTTATTCTATAATGCGTGTGATACTCATATGTCATATGAGATTAGCCTTAAATTCATTAAAAGCCAAAGACCTAAATACACATCAATGATAGACAAAGTTTAAGAGGATTATTAAGGAAATATATTTATATCAATATATTAAATGACAACGATCCACAATGACTCGTAGTTATTTAGCTCATTTATAATGGCTCATCCAAAATTTCGTTCGATATAATAAGCAAATATATTTTGCAACAATAATATACAAGATTTATACAAGTTTTTCTTACAGCACGTCATATGTTCTTTAACAAAACAATTAATAAATTTTTACAAAATTTCTTCTAGTATTTCGAAGCGTTTTACATTATTGTGTGATAATTCTATTATAACAGATCAAGGATTAAGCCTGCAACAAAATTTTTTCTGATTCGCGCAGTACCGTGTTATCGTAAATGCAAACTGGCACGTACATTAGATTACAAAATAACAGCAGATCTCATTCAAACTGATAACAAAAGACGATTGAGATTTACATGTTATCAATAACTAATAACGAAACACGGTCTTTATAAACTGTACCAAACAGCAACAAAATAGTCTCCAAATCTTGGCTGCGTCTGACAATAATTTTTATTTAGTTCAACTCAAATAATTTTGCCTTGTCGTGAAACCCTGAAACAATGAGAACCAATATGAAATATAAATACAAAACCAATTTAAAAAATAGCAAGGAATGCTTGCATTTAGAATATAAATATTGCAACACTGGACAAGAGTCATAGCGATACTCAAAGTCACGTGAGTTATTATTATCTGCCTTGTTATACGTAAAATCAGATTTCAACTTTTTAGAAATTTTTCCACGTCTCATTTGGTTGACCTCTTTATTTTCTTTTTTTGTTCTATTCTTCTTATTTCACTTGCGTTTGAGTCCGCCGAAACTTTGCTGTACGTAGTTAGTATGTACGCGGTGTTGCCAAAGACACTACGTGTCCGTGCATTTTATTATCGAATATTGACGAAGCGTTTAACACGAACGACGACAGTTGACAGAAAGACCCGCCTGACTTTTTTCAACGTGTTGACATTTTGTCACTGCATGTCGAACGTAGCCAATGTCTTGGGTTTGACTTGTACCTTGACTTATGGCAATTTTAATGGCGCCTTACAAGATGGGGAATCGTTGTATAGAAAAATTTCAAGAGTAACAAGGATGACGCGGGCACAAAGGTACTCAAGGATTTTCATCCGGCCTTCGGGGCCACTCGGGTCATCGATGATGATCATACATTAACAACGCTTACATTAATTTACCTTACGGTATACCTTAGCGTGTGGCTCTTTTAGTCATCATCATCGTCGTCATCATCGTAATGGCTAACAGCTTCGGACACAAATGATAAACTTGTTTTTTCGATACTGTCAAATTTCAAAAATAAAATTGAGTCATTGGAATCAACATTCGATTTTTGTTTCACGATTTTTGCATGGAATAGGAAAACAAAAGCACAAAGGAAACGTAGGCAATTTACTTGGTACAATATATATATATATTGTATATTGTAGTACAATTGTATATGTATATTGTAGTACAATTTTGAAGCGTGTATTCATAAAATGATTTTATATAAGAATTATTATATTGATTTTTAGTAAATTATTAATTTATCAGGATTAAGAGAAAATTATGATATTACATGAAATACTATGCAAGTTCGACACGAATGATGATTTTGAATAAAAATAACGTGGATAGAACTAAATATAGATTTAACAAATATTTGATGACTGGCAGGTATGCTGAAAAAAAAATATATCTGATAACTGACAGTTTAACGTACTTGGATAAAAATAATATTATTAATAACTGTGAGGTTTGATAAATAAAATACTTGGGTGTTTTAAATATTTTATTTTAAGTAATACTTGTATACTAAGAAAGGTATACAAAGTTCTGGACAAATATTTCAGTAATTTGGCGAATTGCCTGCCTGAATATTACTTACGAAGTTCATAATTTAAAAATGATTACGTCATCGGTATTTCTATAAAATTAATACACATTTCACATTTTCAAAAATAGGTTCATTACGGTACATCAGTTTCATAATGTAATAAATTGTAATCTAAAATTATAAATCTCGAAAAATTTACTATACTTCGAAGGTTACATTACGTAAGTGAATAAAATTAATTTTTAATTTTTAAATAATAAATGTATACATAATTCCTGTCCATTGATACTGAATTATTATGGAAGTTAATATAAAATTTATTTCTGAATTATATATTTTTAATTAGCCATTAACTTAACTAATATTCTGATATTCTATTACAACATATTGTATGGGGTTTATTTCGCTTCTTGGTTACCTTGGTTACACGTGTAAGCAGATCAAGGTCATGAATTATAGTCTGTTCCAATTACGTCACTAATCAAATTCAAAATATCTCTGCTAACTTAAAAATTAAGAGTATTCTTATACAACGGGCATTGAAATATTCTTTAATTTTATAGACAATGCTTCGTTAAGATAAACTACTATGAGTTTTTGCATATTACTAATTAGGTGTTTCTTTCCTACGGGCTTATATCGTTATCTGGAATACTGTTCGGGATAAGACTATCTTATATATGCAACCTACCGACTTTATCATATCGCCTATTTTCTAAATTTATTTGAAATCTTATATCGACAGTTTGATATATTTGGAAAATAATTAATTCGTGAATTGAATACGATTTAAAATATTGTTACCACATTAAATAGTTTGTGTTATGTACGATAGTCAAATAACGTACGAAAATACTATGGCACTCATAAATGAAGAGAAAAAAATATTTTGTTGAATAATCAAAATGCGAAAGACATATTTCGATTTAAATGTCTTATATATTACGAGATAAGTTAATTTGGAATCTCAGTTTCATGGTCTAGGACATTAAGGTAATGATTATTCAACGATATAAATACAATAGCAGCTATGATCGAAGGAAAACGGGTTTTTAATATTGTGCAAAGCAAATTCTGTACCTAAAGTAGGGATCACTGGCTGTGGATTCGTTATTACGAAGTCTAGGTCAAGTACAGCTACAAACGTACAAAGAGACTGCTCTTGAGGACTCTTAACATTATTTCGGCCTAGGTACAATTTGAGCAGCCAGTCTCGTTAACTTTTCAGGGATATTATTCATAATATCTAGGCCACAACTTGGCCTCAAAATGACTTATATATATACACACAAATTTCATTATTTTTAAATTCGTCATAAAAATGCAAAAACCAAAATTATAAGAAAATTCATGAAAGTTTTATAAAATCTATAAATATTTGCTTTCCAATACTTGATACTGGGTGCTATGATTCTATACGTATCTATAGTGCTATAGATAACACTAAAGATGATGAGCGATTTTTAATGCGAGACAAATACTTCGTGAAACGTAGTAGCGATATCCAATTAGTAATGTCCTCGGAAAAGGTGGGGCAGTGAAGTGTGCGAAAGCATTCGATCAAGACATAACTGCGTTACCTTACGTCGGTGAACGTCAGTTCTCTTTCAGTTTCAGTAACATTGTCGATAGCGACGTGTGTGCCATACTTTTAAACAGTTCAGAAGCATAACAGATTAATCGAATAGGTTTCGTGGGTATTTCATACAAATAAATCAATATTTCTACTATACTGATCTTCGAACGAAATTTTTAAACGAAGCTGTTTACATAAAATTGTGAAAAGTTTCCAAGTGCACAGATATTAGAGACTCTTGAAACTGCAGTATAAACACGTGAGTAACTCAATGATTAAAATATCATATGATAATAGCTTGTTAATAATGAGGTAATAGGGCCAATTATAAATATAATTTTTAAGGTTATACTTTGCAAAAATAATCTCTAGAGAACGTTATAAAGCCAACTGCTGACGACAGTTATAAATTAGAGATATTATAATTAAAAACTTACGATATTCTTCATCATTCTACCGTGAAGCTAACCGGAAATTGCGTAAACGAACATAACAATCTCCAAGGAAAGTCTATAATATGATAATAACTGAATGATAACCATGAAGTGAATCATCGTTCTCACGAGAAGGTGAACCATGAATTAATATCAGGGGGGATTAAGCATAAACAATTTACATGCAAGAATGACGTAACAGCATACATAGGTGCAAGTAAACTCAAAGTAGATAAAGTGACACTGATTAGTTAGAATCGAAATGACCGATAAGAATAATGCTCGGATAGATAAGTGAAATCTTTTTCAAATCCGTTGCTAAGAATAATATATCCAAGCACCTCTACATGCAGCGTTAATAGCGACGATTTCGCGAAGCTTCTAGAGATTTTACCGAGTGAGCGACGCGTGACGACGCGGTCGGTACTGGCGTTAAAGTGTCTGCTGCGTCACTTTAAAAGCGCGACATTTTAAATCAACCGATTTGTCAATCGCTCTGCCTTTATTTAGCTCCCAGTGTACTGGATGAATTGTTAGATAAAAAGTTCCATGACGCGTACAGAGGGAACGAGAGGTAAGGGCCATGGAAAATTTGTCGCAGGGGAACGTTATATGTACACAGATTGCAGTTCAGCCACTGTCGAGCTCTCTGGAACTTGATTATAATTAGGGCTCGCAATTCGAGTATCATTGGTCCATGGATAAGGTGCTAGTGGAAGTGGTCTGACCTCGTGTTAAAAAAAAATTACATAACACGTCTCCGAGGATATGAGTTATTGCCTTAAGGTTGATTCTTCTAGAACGTTACGATAAGTTGCTATATTGATTCGATTATTTACCATACCAATATTTGAGTCTGGCGGACATGAGAATTTGATGGTTAAAGGCTTAGATTTTTTTAAAGAAAATTCGTCAACGATGATCGATTAATAGGTTTATAATGTGAAACGTATACTGTACGTTGTGAATATATTTTTAAATTCGTTGTTGTAGGAAATAATGATTACCACGTACGAGAGCGGATAACGCAATTGTGAAGTTTAACTGTCAATGAGACGAGAGCAAATGTAATTTCCGGTTTTCTTTGTCAAGTCAATCCCGAGCGTACAAAGAAGACACCAATCTTTCCTATAATTATCCCCGCCACGTGCTCAGTACGAATCATCTTTGGTTTTATTAGATCCATTGAAAAGAGTGTATATAGTAAATTTACAGCATTTTACAAGTAAACAATTTTGAAATTTACTTTAAATAAATGACAATAAAAGCGTATCTTTTTATTCCTTTATAAGTTTATCTATTTATTGATTAGCATTAATATCAGCGATTACAAAATTCCTAGTAAATCAACCTTTATAAAATACACTGACAAATAAAAGATCGAAAATCTGAAAGAAATTTGACCTCCAAGTTACTAATTATTGTTTACTACACTTTACTAAGTGTATTTTACATTTTCGAAATGACCCGCAAGCTGCACAAAGGATTCCATAAAAATTCGCGACTCGTCAAATGCATGCTGCGAGTATGACGACAGGTCAAGAGGTCGTTGAAAATGAAGCCTCATACCCCCCCCCCTCTCTCTCGTTCTTTTATTTTTACTCGTCATTTCCTCGTCCCTCAATCACTCCTCGCTGAAATCATCCATTTGGGCTGGTTGCGCAGATACAGCCTGTAGGATATTCGGCCGAGGGCGTGCGAGGACGTAAGTGCTCCTGGATGTTTCATTCGAATGATGTTAGGAGGGGGAGGAGGGGGGGGCTACGACAAGGGAGTGAAAAATAGAATCGGGGTAGAGATGAATGGGGATCGGAATTAGGAGGGAAGGGCAAGAGATGCAGGCCAGGTACCAATATAAGCAGAACATGCCACAGCATCCGCAGTCAGTTATTCCGTGTCTGCAATCATTCGCACGCAACCGGTAGGTTTCCTTTCACTTTCAATTGACTGATCAGGCGTGGAACGCTGAGAGAACTCTGTTTAAACCGTGACCAGTTATCGAAAAGAGTTAAAAAAGAAGTAAGTCGTGTCCTTGCGAAAATAATAGAAATTTTCAAAAATCTTATCGTCATACGAATTTATAGGTTATGCGTATTTCGCTTCTTTTCTAATGTCCATACGTTGTTTCCAACGAGGAACCGGTGAAAAGGCGGGATATTCAAAAACTTGTAGGATCATGAATTATCGTTTGTATACGATTGCTCGATATTAAAGCTATAACGTGGAACGTCACTTCGTGGTTTAAAAAAACCAATTGGCTCCTAACGTTAAAACTGGTTTGTGAATAGGAAAGACGTTGTAGGGTGTATCTGTCAGTTGAAAAAAAAAATATAACGTGCTATGAATTATATGTACGTAACGTATGATAGATATGCTAGACATGAAATTCTTGAAGGTCAAACATATACGTATAATCAATCTCGTAGAAATTTTTTGTGATAGACAAATCTTGTCGATTTCGACCTGACATGATTTTTTTGATTCCATATGCTTTTAATTTTATTTATTCTGATCGGATTTTATATATTATGTGCGTTACGAATTTGGTGTATTATCGTGAATATTTTTACCTTGATTATATTTCACCGTTTCCATTGTCAGATTGTTTTTATCTTTTTCTTTGCTATACATGCTCGGTCACCCTTTTGGTAACTACAGCTTTTATCAAACAACGTTTATTAACGAGTGTGTCGTGTGGAGTCAGGACTACGAGGATCGATGAGGTCGCGCAGGTGTTTCGATGAACTTCTTGCTCAGGATCGATACTTCCTGGAAAGTTCCGAGGTCGGCGTCGACTGTGTCGCGATAGCATTTTCTCACCCGTTGAAAATCCTGCGAATTTATTATACTGTGTTTATGTCTATACTCAAATGTCAATGTTACGAACAGAGGAGGTTCATGAATATTCGACTTTTGAATTTAGTCATCTACTTACTGTAACTACAGGACGTTTCAGCTCGTATAAAATATACTGATATATCAACACGTTGACTGCTACGATACTTTTTCAAATTATATTTTCTGTTCGTGTAAGCCAACCTTGATTTTTTGTTCTCCCTGACGCTGTCTATTCATATTTACACTGATATACTGCGAATTTCATCGTAGCTGGAGAAATATGGCAAGTAAACAAACTACGAGTAATCTCGTAGTTGGCAGTCAACGTGTTAATAAATTCGACATATTTTTATATCGAACGATAGATCTCCAAAAATTTATTTATTTCGTTCGTTATCGTCAAATATTACGAGGACTCAGAACCCATTGATAATTCTTTTGCAATTAGTTGCAAAACTAGTATATAATATTTCAAAAAAATGTCAGTACTTGATATATCGTTTTTCAGTACAAAAATATATATCGCATACGTTCTGCCTGTTATTTGGGGTAAAACCAAATGACTTTGATCCATGGATAAATCTTTATTGATTTTAACCTACCGTGTTGAAATCGTCGTTGGTCCTGTGTCAAGATTTTGAGGTTAGCTTAGGACGACTCTATTGTGAAATTCTTAATCATTGTTAAAATATTTAGGTTTCAAGATTCTTCAATATTTATTAATGATCTAGTATCGTTATCAACTTGTTATTTAATCACAAAACTGTACTTGCTCTCCTTATATTACGTGATAATGACATTAGCGTGTGTCTTGTTTTACAGTTTAGTCACAATGAACAAAATGATCGCGTTCCTTTTGATGGCGGTGCTGGCTAGTGCGTCGGCTGAAGTAAGTACAAAGTTGAGTATTAATAATGTAATAGCCGGTAACTTTTGATTAAATAAGTTCTACGTCAGTAATTTATTATATTAACAAAATTACCATGGTAGAATTATGCTCGCAGGAAGAATTGAGTTTTAAGAATTACGTTGCTCAATAAAAGTCAACTGCGTTTTCCTTTTAAATAATTATGCGACTAGAATCTCATCGAAGGTTATCTTGTTTCGTAATTGAATTTCGTATAAGCGAATATAACTTTACACAGCTGAACCAGTTCTGGAAGCTTTACAAGTCGTCGAACAGAAGGTTGCTTGGCTACTCGAATCCACTTTTTCCTTGATATATTCTCATATTCATATATTTCATAACATATACGTATCAACGCTGGAAAATTATGACAGATGAAAGAAAAAATTGTCCTGCTATAAACACACGCGTGATGCCTTTCGTTTGGAGGAATCCAGAAATTTTCAAAATAAAAATCATTGTTAAAAAAAAAGATTTTTCAAAAAAATAATTATTCACCAAAAACTTGTTTCATTCAATGTTTGTAATGGTTTGTCACCTTTTTATTAGCCATTTGTTTGATTATCAAACTTTCATTTTGCAAATCAGGAATTAGTGGCTGTCGTACGCTTGACGCCACATAACTCTACAGGGGGCCCCAATGTCAATGGTGCGATTACGTTCACCCAGAGTGCAACAAATGGACCGGTGACTGTCACTGGTACCATTTCCGGTCTCAAGGAAGGTCTTCATGGTTTCCACGTTCATGAGAAGGGAGACCTTAGCAGTGGCTGCACTTCCGCTGGAGGTCATTTCAATCCCAATGGCGTAAGTAGCCCATAAGTAGTCTATGTTTGTAACAGTCATGAAATAATATCTGTAATTGAAAAAAAAAAAAGTAAATTTTGGGTAAAAAATTTTTCAATTAATTAATCACACGTGCATATCGTAACAGCAAAATCATGGCGCTCCGGGAGACGCTGTCAGACACGTCGGTGATCTTGGAAATATTCAAGCCAACAGCGAGGGAATTGCTACAGTAAACATCACCGACACTGTCATCTCTTTGAGCGGCGCAAACAACATCCTGGGCCGTGCTGTCGTTGTTCACGAGGACGCGGATGATCTTGGCAAAGGCAATCATTCGCTATCATTGACAACAGGAAACGCTGGAGCCCGTTTAGCTTGTGGAGTCATTGGCGTCAGGTGGGTCCAGTTGATGTAGTAATTTTTTTTCCAATTCTTTCAGTGCATCAGGATCCGCATGATAGAATTGCATTGTGATCACATCCGTTTGTTTGATGACGCAATATCACATAGAGGATGGATCGTGCGCTTTGTTCAATTCAAACAATTTTTTTTGACTTATCGTACAAACTTTTACAAGACTCACGAGACTACTCGTCAGTCATCACTTCGTGCTCAACTTATAGATATAATTTTATAAATGATTCTATGATAAGCATATACTATACTTCATAACAGCACTGTCAGACGGTATGGTAGCTTAAATATCGATCCGGCACTATTGTTGCTATTAACTGCAAGTTAATGTTTGCGTTTGTTGTCGCTTAAGTTATCTAGCTGTATTTCTCTGTTCTGCTTTATGTTTCCTATGCACGTTATCACAATGAATCCTTTGTATCATATTCATTCGCAAAAAAGTTTTTACACGGCACGTCAACGCGCCTTCTTGTTAGCTATTTATGACGTGAGCATTAACGCAAATCTAATTAGCAAAGTAACTCAAAGTGAATGCAGTACAAAGTAGCACAATAGAACAAAACTGTCAGCGTTGAATTTCTATAGCTATTAAAAGAAAATCAGGCACTTGGTTGTCTTTTCAAAAGTAACAGTCTAGCCTGGTAACTATTACGACGCCATGTTGGGAATCTAATAAAACAGCTTATACTGCTGACTCAATCGAAAATGGAGATCTACGAAAGGTCAATGAACGGTCGTACAGGGCAACGGCGACGTCGTACATGTCTACGACCTTGCAGGGTCACCAGTGGTACCGTAAGGTAAACGTACTGGGTGTCTATGAAGTTTATCCGTGGACTATTAGAATGATTCGAAGCAATGAATTTCATTATTAAAAATTGATTCGTCACGTAGGTCGATATAAAAAGGAGAAATATAAAAAGTGACCATTATATTACTAAGATATAGAACTACGTTCTGTCTCAACTAGTGATATATAAATTTTATAATAAAAAAGACTTAACTCGATTGGATTGAAATTTTGACGCAACGAACCTAACCTAACCTTAAATTTACTAACTCGCTAAAATTTTATTCATCTTTGGAACTAATTCCTTTTTAAGACACTATGCTAATGCTGCACGTTAACTTTCGTACACAGATTTCAAGGATGATCTTGGATGCAGCTATCTTGTCAGCTTGAACTTTAAAGTGCATGATAGATTTATATACATAGATTACGTAACTTGAAGGTCTAATGTTAATTGCAGCAAAGTCTGAGCGGCAATTCGCGGGGATGCCTACAGGATGGATTACGAGTCCAGTACCATTCGACTCAAACTCATCGTGCAGAACTGATAAGAATTACTATTGTTGCTATATAATATCGATTATTATATGCTATTTGTATACGCTAGCTGTTAATTCGACGCTCTTTGTATTGTATCCATGCTAAAGTGTATGTCTGTACATGTTTTTCGAATAAACTGAACAGTTATAACAACACTAGGCTCTCTGTATAAAGCTCGTACGAAATGGTTAACTGTTAGATTTAGAAAATTATATAATCAGACGTGATTAATAAATTGCTTTGTACTGTCCTGCATAAGAAAATTGTATTTGACAGTTTTATTTTAAATTTACTTATGCTCATGGCGCTGACTCGCATATCTTTTATAGAGACAAAGTAAATGTTCTATGTTATTTGCACACCGGCAATTAAATTGTCTTTGCTATAATCTTAATTCTGTATGTCTTATGGGTATATGACCACTTGAGGTCATACATTTCGAATGTGGCGTTGCGACGTAAGTAAGGGTTACCTATGATTCAACTCCATTAGCTTCGCTCTTAGTGACCAATGACGTAATGGACATCTCATTATTTTTTCAAGAGGTCAATCTACTGGGTGGTTACTTACTTATGAATTTTATGAAAGAGTATATAGTCTTGTCCATTTAAAATTTGAGGAACTCAACGTGGATATGTGTATTATTTGCACGTTAGATATTTAAGACTTCCTTTTTTTTAACAGTAGCCACTTTTATTTCAATATTTAATGCGATTCAGTGCGATGTTAATTGAAAGTTATTATACTTAGAATCTATATATGATAACGGTTGTAGATAAAAAATCAATAATATATTTTATTAATTATATATATCCGCCTTTACACATTTAGTATTTGTAGGACATTATTAATTCTTATCAATAATTATGTCTGCTTACAGCTCACCAAATAGCAACTGGTCAGGCGCTGGTATAGCAATTGTTTCATCATACGTGGTCAGCATCCTCCTACCAGCTGCTGCACTTGTTTTAAGCTTCTTGGATTACTAGAACATACCTTGAGATATGGGATGTTATACGGATTTTAAATACAAGACTAAAGGACATTGGCTATGATGTTAGCTAACCGCAATTTACATATATACATTCCACGTTAACTGGACAGACATATTTATTCTTTTTTTTTTCAAATAAATATTATTATTATTTTATTGGCAAAAGTGCTCGAGATGTATATCTGTAGATTTTTACTGTTTTATTTAACTCCGGAGTAAGCGTATGGGGGTATAGGGGTATCAGATACTCCAACTCAATGCTTTTCAAATAGATAACACAATCATACGACTATTACTGGGTTAATAAATATAAACACTTTTGTTGAAACAAAGTGAATCGATAAGTATCAGGTTATTTACATTTATTCTTGTTTATTTGGTAATGAGAAATGTGTAAGAACCATTTCTCTGTAATCAGTTGTTATACTTTATAATTTCTTTGGTAAGTCGAATGTGTTATATTTATTTTGGTGATACGATGTACACTCAGTAACCTTTTCGCTGCCTACTAAAATAATGAAAAGCGGTAAATCTGCGCGTACCTAGTATGTACTAAACAGCGAAAGAGTTAGGTATGAGTACGTAAATTAAAATTTCGTTGTACACTGCATTTATTATGCTGTAGAGACTTAAGAGTTCATTATTTGTTAAGGGGTAGTACTTTGTAACCTGAAAGTGAAATATAATTTTGAAAATCTAATAATAAACTATTATGCAAAAACAGTGCAGGCAGACTTTTGCAAGCTGCATTGTTATTCGCATGATACTTTCATCTGAAATAATTGCGAAATAAAAGAATAAAACGCATATAGCTTTTTATGCTACTGACGTTCGTGCAAAAATTTTACACTTCGCTCATGTTTTTATTTTTACAATTATCCCTCACGAAAGTGCCATTTCAGTAGTTTTAGATTTTACAGAAATCTGCGTATACTGAAATTCGATAAATATAATTTACAATTTTCGTAATTGTATATTCGAGATAGCCATTTGCACTCTCCAGTCACGTTAAGGTTGCGCTAAATAATACTAAAAGTAACGTATCGTTTACATAATTACACATATGGATTAATAAAGGTAAACATAATAGATACAACACCTGTTAAATGTCTTATTAAACAACCCCTACATCTGTTATACAAATTTTGTAAAATATATTTTATGTCTCTCGTGAGGATGTAGTAGATACTTTTTCAAATTGGATTTTTTTTTCTCTAAACGCAAAGTTTAATTACCTCAAACTGAGCTGGGTTTAATGTAATTATTCCGATATTTCCACGTTCGTGTGAATAATGGGCACAACCTACACGAAGGATAAATGAACTATATTTATCTACATTCCCATTAACCTACATACGTAGCAGTGGGTCTAAATTGGGGGATAGCTCTTAACACTAGTCTAGCCTTATTTCATATCTTAAACAATAGCGTAGGTAGAAAATAACCACGTCCTCTAAAAGTGTAACCCTACCAAATACGAATGACGTAACCCCACTTAAATTAGCTGATGCGTCGCAGTTTGTTCTTCTTAACGAATGAAGAATACCTTTGACCTTTGACATTATAACAATCGAATCCAACCTCTTTGTAACGTTTGAATACCCAAAGTTCACTGTATATGTATATAGTTATTTAATTACAGGTAATTCAGTTCCTTATTTATAATTTTCAGTTCATTATTTTCAAGCTGATGCACAAATATCAAAAAGATCCGCTAGTTTCACGCCAAGTACGAGCTGGAGCGACGATTTCATAACGAAATTTTTTTTTATCAAAATTAACGCAGGTTTAACAAAATCCAGCGTTCTGTTTCTATTCTAGGAATAAATCTTTTTGATTTAAGTCACCAATCAAGTAAATCGATCCACTCGTTCATGAGATATCTATACAAGAAATTCTCGACCTTGCCAAAATCGGCCAAAATTACTTTCAGCCTGTATGCACGCTACAGTGACAATTTCAAAAAATAGTAAGGCACTCCGAAATGTATTTGATAGGTTCATACCTATAAATTGTTTTCTTGAAAATGGTGCCCCATTAAAAAAATCCAAAGTATTCTATACCATACGTTGAATGTGTCATGAAGTTCTATTCCTCCCATACTGTATATGTATATATAACGTAAGGCGACGTATACATGTTTCTCGTAATTTTTATTTCGAAATCGCATTAAAACTCTCGAGACAACCCAATGCACCAGCAAGTAATTTCCGATAAGAAATTTTTCATCGATAACGATAGTCCTGCAATAGGCGATTGATACGTTAAATCTTCTGTATTGCGATAAAAATAAATGACGCATAGTTACATGAGCAAATAATCATTTAATAGAGTTATGGTGCAAGGTCGTACGTCATGATTTCAAATTTGCCGCCAAATACTGATTTCATCATTTTTCTTACGTGAAGTATCTGTAATCCCTATAGGGACCTGGACCAGTATAAATTATTGCATTAATTGTATTGGTCATATCCTAATTAGAGTATCTTATCGTCAAGGACGCCTTTTATATCCGTAGACGTCACGACGTTGCCTCGTTAACCTGAGGTTACAGACCTACTTTAGTTACGGTAGGACTTCGACGTCCCAGCACGAAAACCTTTAGGAATTGATCTAATCCTAGCGTGTTCCAAGGGTGTAGAATCCATATGACAAATACTAATTGTAAGGGTTCGATCGATTGCGTCCGTCTTATGGATGTTACCACGTTCAATTTCGTTTGATAACATCAGGATAGAACTTTGTAGTAAACAATGTGCGTCATACGGTTTCTACCCTAGAGGTTTATATAGTGCGTAGGAATAACAACCCCTTGAAATTCTCTTTGAACTGTCGTGAACCATAGTTACCATGACTACGTCAAAAGGGAAACATAGCAGTCGTTGAGTTTTGACCAATAGGAATCTGGTCTCCTTTTCGGTCTCCAGTAGGATTTTGCGCCTCGGGTACTCTTCGGCCAATCGCCTTGCGTGTCCTGGAATTTCGATCGAACTTAGTTCGCACTGTTGGACTACAGGCCGAATGAGTGCTGGCGATCAACGCACACTGTTCGAACAACCGTTGAGTGTGATAGACATTTTGCTGTCGGGGAGAAAAACAAAAAAATTTTTGTTGTTACTGATGTTTGATTACTATCATTTATTATATTAGTTATTTGGCGAGGGACTGTGTGTGGTGTTTTTGGAACGTATTGAACGTATTTTAATCATTCACAGGGGTAACATTTATATCTGCTAAAATGGAATCCTGTGGAATGAGCGCGATTAAATATATCTTATTTCTCTTCAATTTGATATTTGCGGTAAGTGCGAAATTATTTTTTTCGAAATTTATTTTATCGATTGGTAATGTAAGAAAATGTATTTTTCGACTTGGCAAATTTAGGTTTAGTCTATAAATTTAGGTCACGGTGCTTTATGGAATTAAAACTAAATAATTGAACCTACTGATTTTTAAGTTTGATCATTAATATTGAAAAAAAATTATTTTTCGTGAAAATATTAATTTCTTTGTCTGTTGTAACGTATTACGAGGTATCGATTTTTTTAGACGAATCCAATCGCTGATACGATAATAATTATTTATACACGTTTGCCAATCCAATTCAATTAATTAAATGCCATAACAACCATTTCGTCATGTAATCATATTACGGCGATTTAGGGGAAATATCTTATTATCGAAATTCCTCTAGATATCGGGAATTGGAATAATAGTGGCAGGAGCCATAGTCTTGGCGGACGTGGGTGAGTTCAGCCATTTCTTAGAGGGAAGAATAATAGCACCACCGATAGTACTGATAGTGGCAGGCGCTATCGTTTTTATCATAGCCTTTCTAGGCTGCTACGGAGCCGTAAAAGAAAATTACAATATGCTGATTGCAGTAAGTAGAGTATTTCTACATTTCCTACTTAAAAAACTTTTAGAATTTAATTATAATTTAGAAATTTTAATCGAGCCATAAACTTTCATAAAATTTTAAAAAATTGTCTATTCTTATCCCAAGCTGTGCAAGTTCAATTTGAATAATTCTTGCTAAGCCCCGTACGAGACTAGTATCACATTTGTACAATTTACATGGATTACAAATTAATCAATTATCTTCCACTGTTTAATAATAGTTCGCCGTAGCACTGTTGGTTATCTTCGTGATCGAGCTCGCCGTAGGAATCGCAGCCGCTGTCTTTAAAAATGACTTCAGCATGGTCATGAAGGATAGCTTGAAAGCTTCCATGATGAATTATACAGAAGCTGATAAAATGGCTTGGGAGAATGTTCAAAAAAAGGTATTATCAATTTGGTCAAATTAATATTTTAAAAAATCTGCATTAATTTCCATTGCGAATCCAAAGGCACCACTTGTTAACTACCAATTGTGAAACTTTGCCAATGGTATCTTTGTATAAAGTCACTCTTAAAATAATTCCTATAAGAATAACTGGAGGCACATAAAATTTTTTGTTTTTGAACAAAAACATTTTCATGCATTTTCAATCTCAGTCATAGACAAGGGTAGTTGTCTCATTTAGTAATATGGCTTGCGCCTATAGGAATGCAACCCGTCATACACGCGTGTCAGTGCACCAAAGAATTGCCTATTCTATACCTACTATTGGAATCAATGAAATTTGTTGCAAAAAATTATACAGCTGTTCAGTTGAAAATGTTTGATAGTTCATTTAACAACGTATGTCCATTACTTCGTTTACTAATTGTACAAAATTTTGTTATTGCGCAGCTGGAGTGTTGCGGCATTGATAATTCCAATGATTGGATCACAGCGAAAGGGATAACAAGTAATACACTGCCTGATTCCTGTTGCAAAGATTTGCCAGTAGGAGGTGCCTGTCACACGTATGACATTAAAATGCTGCACACGAAGGGCTGTTTCGCCGAATTAGAATTTCGTGTTCAAAACGGTGCAAAAGTTTTGATCGGTGTCGGGATTGGCATTGCTTTTGTAGAGGTTTGCAGCAAATGACGATTAATTGAAAATTCGATAAAATTCATATTATTAATATTTTGCACGACTTTCTTCTTTTAGATTGCTGGGATCATATTGGCGTGCTATCTGGCGCAAGCGATAAAGAGGGAAGGTGGCAAGTAAAATGTTATGTATCGATGATTTTATTTATGGTATCCATTTTCCGAGAAAAAAAATATTCGATACAGATTGTTTGGCTTTTGTTAATTGTCGTCTGTTTTTTTTTAATTCTTCGGAAGAAAATATTTGAATTATAAAATTTTCGGTACGTTGGACATTTCTTTAAACTCGTCCAAGGATTCCAAAAGGAATTGATTTTTTTATGCAATTTTTTATATTTTCTTCGAAAATAAGCTTGTTTCGTACAAGTGTCATTTCCCAGGAATTTTTCATTATCGAAATCGTCTTCACTCGGATTCACACAAAGTACTCTATATATCTATACATCCCTCAGATAATAGTGGGCAAAATCAATAAAAAGGAACGATAAGAAATAACATCGACAAATATTTCCTTTACTCGCTGAATGTCATACAATTCATACAACTCAATTTTTATAACGCACACTTATATGAGCTTCGATTTTCTGTCTTTGTTCCTTGTCACCCGGTACAAAGAATAAATAAAGATATTCGATATCTCAATTAATCAGAATAGAAACTCTTATAAACAATTTCATATTGACACTGTGTGCCTTATGTATGTTGCATTAATCAATAATTAATCAAACGCTTATCGTGTCACAAGTAGATGTTAATTAACGAGAAATCCCACGTGGAATCTTTTATTCGTATAAATATAAAGGAAACTGCATTGTCCCCTAATTAGTTTGCCAGGATAATTAATATAATTATCTTAATACGATGTACTATGTATAATAATCGTAATTATAAATCTAGAATCCTGTGCTTAATCTTATAATCGTAATTTAGCATTATTATTAACCCATCGAGAATTCGCATAACTTAAGAACAATTACACAACAATATATTCAGTATCAATTAACAAAGCTAACACGCCTATTTCTTTAATTGATCAGTTATCGATATTTATTTATCGACAAGATAAACATTCATGCCGCTAAACCATTTTTTATCATCTTGTTATTCACAAAATTTCCCTTCAGTGATAATCACATGGTATGTACTATAGTACAGTATAATGAAATATATATATATAAAATACCCAAGACGACCAAAAAAAGATAATACGAACGTGTACTTAGGTATATAAAATAAATTAAATAAAGAAAAATATGAAAAATTACAAATACGTCACGCATAATAAACTGATCATGTGCATGCAGAACGTACTGTTACTATAAAAAAAAAAATATTTCTTTCATTAAACAATCTTCCGATACAGTGCATAAACAATATTTAAGAGATCATAAGGCAAAGGAAGATTATATATGAAATATCGATACCTTAGTATAATATCCGTATTTAATATACGCTTTGATCATTTACTATCGCTATTACCAAAATCCAATAATTGGTCTCTCGTGTATCTAAGTATGTCACATTATACTTATGGGTGTATTACGTAACTTCCGTCGATAACGATGAGCGTTAATAAACTTCGCAATTACGACTCTTGACCGTCGTTCATTATAGGCCTATATTATGCGAATTATATTTACTATTGTTAATATAGCTAGCATGTAACCTATCCAGATCTTCACTTATTTATTTATACGTACAAGCCTAAGATTTCGTTACCTTTCTCATACGTATATTTTTCTTGGATGCTCCAAGGCTTTACTGTGCTGTAAGATATATCTATAACGCAATAGAAAATTATAATTAAATAAAGTTCCTTGCTGATCGTACATTGACTGTTACATCAATTGAATTGTAAATCAGTTTGTAATAAAATTTTTTTTTATTTTTATACACTAAATTTACCTTCTGTCAAAACGCAACTGGGCAGGTGCATTAAGGTAATTCTCATGGCGACTTCTATAATTTAGCATTATCGGCCTTTGGGTAGAATGACGTACATAAGTATTACGTGGAGATTGGTCATTTCTAGCGATCGAATTGTTCTTCGCATTTTCCTTTGGTTCCTCTTCCGGTTTATGTATCCGCGCGAGAGGATTCTGAACTCTTGGAATTTCCGTTCTGTTATTAGTCAAGTCCGTTGTCGCGTCCTTATCGGAATTTTGAAGTTTACGGATTAAGATGTACGATAACGCCATTATGGTTATCTGAAAAATTAAAAGCGACAATTGTATAATTTTTATTGTACTCCATGTCTATAAATTCGTGATAGACGTTCAAAATGATGTTTTTTTAAGCAATAAAAACTTTTATTACTTTTTTCGCCAAAATGTTATTGCTCGTTATAAAGTTTAGGTGAAGTATTGATGTAATTGTCAGTGACGTTATATATGTACGAATAGAACGTTCATGAATCATCACAGTTTTTAAAAATTGTTATCGGATAAACTATCTGCTTATAATAATACAGTTACTTTACCTTGATTATACCTAATACTATTAACACTGTAAACAGCAACCAAATAAAGTTGTTCATAAGACTTGTCAAAGTTGTATAACATCCAGGGAAATTCACATGCGTAGCTTCGCAAGTGCTATTGGAATTACAGCATGAACCAGGTATGCTTCCCAAAAGTGTAATCCAGTCATCGGAGCCATTGATGCCACAACACGATAACTGAAAAATTATTGTCAAAGTATGATTATTCGTATAGAAGAAAGTTTACCCAATTTTGTTTTCTTATAAAATTTTGACTTGATTTTAAATATTAACTCGAAGGGCTGAACTTTGAAAATACTTACGTCGGATTGAAGTAAATTTACAGACGCAGCGTTATAGGTATAATTGCTCATATGCTCTTCCAATGCTTTGTACGTTGCTGCTGCTGCAAAATTTATTGTAGTTGCTCCGACTCCTGCCAGTGTAATGACGAGGAGAAACTCTCCAAAGAGCAGAACGCTGAACTGTAAATGAAATAAATTTTATTAAAATTTCTATAAAAGTCATCGATTTAGTCTAGTGACATAAGGGATTGTTGTCAATGACGTGATAAAGAATTTTTAATAAATAATCTCACACGATCCAGTGCGAATAAATTGGCGTATGTGACAGAGTGATATCGATTAGATGAATGATTAATTCTCAATGATGGATTGCATTTAATGATTCCTGATTTTCATTCAAATAATCCGAAACGACCGAACGAACGAACGTTGCTCGTTCGTTCCGAATGCTCTCGGAACGAATTTTTTTTATTGAGTTCAGGTCGAGGTGCTCGAGTTTGCCGTGGATAGATAGTCTCGACGTACCGAGCTGCCCGGCAGGCCAGAGTACCGGAAGTACGGACAGGTCTCCACGGACCTGCAGAAGCGTGGTTGAGATACCGGCGCCCCTGGAGGGAGGCTGTAGAGCGGACGGAGACAGAGTTTTGTTACGGTTAAGGGCGGGGTGCCAGGCTGTCGTCTACAGCCCTGGGGAAGCCACCGTGGAGGATCTCCAAAAGTCACGTACCGATTCACTGAGGATCGCTCTCGATTTGGTTTAAAGGGACGACCCGAGGGAAAGGATAAAAGTTATCGGCTATAAGGATCTTGGCCAATCAGAATGATTAGTTCAAGAATTCGACTATCGTCAAAGCAGTCTCTCTTGGGACCCCGCTGGAGGCGCCACGAGCTGCCTGGCGCTCCCGTGCTATCCGTTGACAGTATTTCTAGCCATTTCCTATACGTTATACGAAGTTCTCGCGTTGTTCTCGCAATATCCAGAAAGTTCTCTAGATTTTCTGCGCCTGTTTCGGAGGTGCAGTGCTGTGCCCCCCTGAAGGTCTCCTGGATGCAGTTCTCGGCCTTCACGTATTGACTCAACCAGCTCCGGTGAGGACTCCTAATGTATTATTTGGTGGAGGAATTTCGATTTTATAACTCCGACTCGTTCTGCTACGTTCTCGATCAATTGATCTCTGTTTCCGGCACTGTTTACCTGACGCTTCCTCCGACCTTCTCTACCTCAACCTAGCAGCCTGAGCGGCCGTGCATTTACGTGACAGTTCGCTCCCGTTTGTGCATCCAGTTGCGTTTGCTGATTTTACTCAACCCCGAAGGTCAGTACCTACAGTTGCCTTTCTCGATTTTACGCATGCCCAAAAATCGACAGGACCCGTTGAGCTATCGTCTCTTCTGATAAGATCCGTCAGAGCTCCCGTCCCGTCGAAAAATAATTGGCAGGTGACCCCTGGCTTGCGGATGCACGGACTAAGGGTGGACGGCCCAAGGTAGGTCAGTTCTCGAATTTTCCTTATCAGTGTCGAGTCAATAAAATACGTTACAGGACATATTATGTTCGGAAAATTAATACGTTCATGATATATCTGCATATATTAATTTATTATACATATTTATCACATACCGTGATGATACCATTAAGGTAGTTTTGTGATACCGAAATCACACCCAGCCACCCAATGAGAACAAGAGAAACGAATCCAAAGCATAGAACAATGACCGGCTTGTCCAAGTAATAATCCAAATATTCTTCGTGGACGAAAAATAGTATTTTTACCCTAATTGTCGTGAGAAATGCCAAAACTGCGATAAGCTGAAAAAAAATAACCAAGTCAAACAATAATCACTTCTTATCACAAGCATAACGAAGTGTACAGTGTCTTTTTTGATTTTCATATATATTAACAATAAATGTTGTACAAAATTTATTTTAACCGCCGTTCATTTGATTTTCGAAGAAATAATATAATTTACGATAATTCTGCTCACAATCAAAAGGGCGTCCAAGACAATGTGGATGATCTTCAGATATATCTTTACTTTGTTACTGGTCTTCTTCGTAGACGTCATCTTATGTCCCACTTCACTAGTCAATCACGTCTGATCGGATGAACGGCTACAGACAGCACGAGTCACTCGTTGTGTTCAAAGCTCTCAAGACTGATTACGACGTTGATCACAAAGAAATTCCATTCGCCAATGAAGGCTTTAAGAGCCAGTGATAAGTAACGGTATATTCAGGATTCCCCGAATGTCTAATCACCATCGCCAATATCACGACGTTCGCGATTGTTGTTATCGCGAAAGTTATTCATCATTGTTGTTCTCATCACAACACATTCAATCAGCTTTAACAGATTCGTTTACATGTATGGCACTTCCTTATCTGCACGTAGGGGTCTTATCATTAACGGATATAGATAAAAGGAAGTCCGATTTTGAATTTATTATTATTTATGATTAGTCATTCGTGAATAATTCGGTTGGTGAAAGTCTCAATAAATTAGATAAAAATATTTTGTATAACGGTTGCGATGAAGTAACATCTTGAAAATTCGATCGTTGTAGTTCGGATGTGATTAATGATTGTTGGTATCTTGAAAATTTTATTCTGGCATTATTTACCTTTTGAGTGACAAATTTTACTTTTTTGCTTATCCAGGTAAGAGATAATCATGAAACTCAGTAATTTACTTGATGAGAATACAGACATCGATTTTAAGGGATATGATAATTATTGTGATCATTATTTCATTGATTTTAAGTATATATCAAATTGACTTCATGTTCCACTATACTATTGCTATTGGGTTCTAAGATTTTCTTAATCATAAGATTTACAAAAATCAGAATAAAAAATGCGTACCTGCGATACTATATTAATCCATACTATAAATAAGATTGGCCTCGCAATTGCTTTATCGTGGAATCAAAGCACAACGATCTTATCGATTTATAGAAAGCGAACAAGGGCAATTAATACTTCGGTATAAGAATAATCAATTTTAATGATTGTCATCATATAAATAAATCATTGTAAAAATGTCATAAACAAATTTCTAGTAAGTATATACTTTTATTAATTCAGTAGAAATATATAAACTGAATAAATCCGCTTAACATATACTTATGTAAATACTATACTTGAATATATATATATATATACATATATATATATATATAGTTTGCAAAACTAAAGTCCACATTTATCTTACAGATGGTTAATGGTCATGATTCGTGATTGACGCGATTTATGTGAAATGTTGTAATCAAGAAAAGTTGCAAACTTTTTGCAATAGTAATCATCTTAATTAAGTGGACATTTTCTTGCGTAAGGTACGTCGAGACGTTGGAAAACAGAAGGCTGTATTTATCTTCTAATGGAATAATAAATGATCATCGGTTGATCATGATCGATGAGATGCACATAAAGTTGTTCGATGAAGATACGAGATTTGAGTTAATGCGAAAGGCACTTTTTGAGATTTACAATAAAAATAATTGATTGCTCACGTTTAATAAATAAAGTGAGTAGTCAACATGATAAGGAATATGTAATGGTTAGTTCACACTATATACTAAATTATATGCATTATTTATTATTATTACATATTTTTAAACATATTTCTGCCACAAGAATAATTTTCATAATTATTCCCAATTTTTACCAATTTAATATTTTGCTACAGTCCCAAGCGGTCCCAGCATGCGCAGCCATCTATTAATCATTGATTGTACTTACCGTACGCTTCCTTACCTAGCAGAAACTGATTGTTATATATTTTATGTATGAGAGAAGAAACTGTATCTTTTGAATATGTAACGGAACGTTAATATATAAATTATGAGTAATGAACGAATATATTTTTATGCAAATTTTTCATAATTAAAAAATCAAAATTTACATATTATATAATAATACATGAAATGCTGACAATGCATAAGAGGGTTCCGTGGTGTAGCGGTTATCACGTCTGCTTTACACGCAGAAGGTCGCCAGTTCGATCCCGGCCGGAACCACATTAATTTTGTATTTGTATTTACAATTAATTAACCAAGTACTAAAACATTATTAATAAGAACAACAATATTGAAAAACAAAACGAAGCAAATATTTGTTGAAACAAAACATTAAACAATACAATAATCTATCTGCATATCTTATCGCAACAATAAAGAGTCCCAATCGAACATAAACAATAAGATTAAAAAGTATTTACAACCAAGCCCCGGCATCTGCATAAGTCTAATCCAAATCCAACAATAAGATAAGCACTTCGAATACCGCTAAAGTTCCAATAGGAACCGATCGCATGCAATTAGGTTTTCGGTCGCTTTTGATGTGCGAGATATACCTGCAGTGTGTTAATGAAAATAAAAACTAAAATTCCCAGGAATGTGCCAATGTATTTCTCCAGGGAGTTTTGTTGGCCTCTGAAGAAACGCGACAGGAAACGGATATTGATATTCATGGTGCGCAGTCACATTCGTCTTAGCAAGTCTACCAGCCTGGCTCATGCTCCTCGTGTGCACTGGACTTCATATTCCTACCATTCTTCCATTCACTGTTTCTCGACCATCTGGTCTTCCACCTGCGTCTCAGTCCCGACAACTGTTCCGTTTCTTTAGCAACTGCATACAACGAGAGCAGAGTCCGGTTTTAACGGGCTTAGTGCGCTGTCAGTGATGTCTCTTCCTTGGCAGGATCTTGCCCTCGGATCCTGAATCGCGAGTCACAAAGGATACTGGCTTTTTATCCACTTACAGATAACGAGTGTCTCTTATATATCGCATTCATTTTACTTATCTTTTTTCCTTCTCTTTTCTTATATCGTTATCCTTATATCTCCAAATCATTCATTGCCCATACAAAACTTTGGACATTGACAAAAACCAATATATGACAATTACATATTGACAAATCTTTGACCATTACTTATTGGATACTGATTGATCAGTAATAAAATTATTGATTGATCTTTTACCGGTAGCGAAGATTGTTAATTATGTCACTATGATTTTGGAATTGATTATTCCTATGCATTATGAGTGAGTTTTTTTTAAAATTTTGAACATCAATCAAACGCTATTTTCGATGTTTGCGTTTAAAGATGATTTTTAAGAAGTTATTATTTTTTATTAAAAAAAAAATATATTGTTATCACAACAAGCTTATCTCTTAGTGAATCGCGCGGATAGTAGCTGGATGAACAATGAAGGACTTGGCATTGAAGTTGATCGTAAAAAATATATTTTTTTGCCTCCTCTTGAGCTTAAGCAAATCCTTGACGGGATTGTATACAAATTGCAAGGATTTGTCGAAGAATTGAAGACTGAGGGGGATGATGCAGATTGGAAAAATAAAAAGGAAGAAGGAAAAGGCCCATGGAAGTGGATGTTGAACTCACGAAATACCTGAGGGGCAAAAGAATGTAGACATGTACAAAAGAGGGATGCTGGCGAGATGACGTAAAAGCTCTAATTGTAAGATGAAGATTCTCGAGTCTGCATCTAACTCGCCTCGATGAAACCTGGCAGTAGGTAAAAGATAGGTCAAGTATGATGAGAATACTTTGAGACACCTTCTTGCTGAAGAACACTCAAAAACCTCCGTTTCATCCAGGAAGCAACTAAGCTTGCCAGTTTCTGTGCTTTCCAGCTTTTCATGAAATATTACTTTGCAGTTCCATGCGATATTCTAGAAATTTCACGACAACCCCAAGACACTGGTACCTGGATCAATAGTAAATGACTAGGACCAAGATGACGACGTTTGAATTTCACTCTGAGTGTAAAGATACAAAAAAATTGCAATTCCAAAAAATTTCAATGAAATACTTTATTTTTGCAAAAAACATCCTATATCGATTTTTAAAAAATCTACTTTTTCCATTCATCCAAAATATTTTTGGGAAACTGTACAGTATAGTTACCTAAAATATTTGTACTTCCAAAAAATGAGATTACGCCTGGTTCCTTGAATCGATCGGACCGACAAAACTCTTATGCTTCTGATGACTGCAGGTGGTACGGTGGTAGTCATTCGGTAAGTTATAGCCGGGTCGTAGGAGCGGAATGATTGGCCAGAAATTCTTATGAATAAAAGGCACCTCGATCGATCTACCTCCCGCGTGGAGCGATCAGTTTCATCGATGGACGTATGTACACTCACCCTATTGCGACCCCATCGGAAATCGACGATCCCTTCGATAGAACTGATCGTCCGATCGAGCAGACAAGCAACGTCGATTCACAATCAGTCCTTGTGGAACACGAAGAGCCAACCCTCTGAGTGTTCTATCTACTTCAAAGAGAGAGAGAGAGAGAGAGAGAGAGAGATAGTGAGAGACCTTTTCACTCTTTCACTCTTAGACCCTCTCACCTGTCCCTTTCGCTGAGTGTTCTATCTACTTCAAAGCATCGGAAATCGACGATCCCTTCGATAGAACTGATCGTCCGATCGAGCAGACAAGCAACGTCGATTCACAATCAGTCCTTGTGGAACACGAAGAGCCAACCCTCTGAGTGTTCTATCTACTTCAAAGAGAGAGAGAGAGAGAGAGAGAGAGAGATAGTGAGAGACCTTTTCACTCTTTCACTCTTAGACCCTCTCACCTGTCCCTTTCGATCGGTTCAACATCAGACCGTGGCCCTTTCCTTTTATTCCTAGAATCACGGCACGTACCGTTCTTTACCGTTACGCTTCACTGGCTAAATCGACGGCTGACTGACGTACGAGACTTTTTTACTACTATATGCATTCTTATACCAGTAAGCATATCCCCTATTAATTTCTTGAAATTACAGGGTCTGAGTCAGAGATGAAAAGTATATTCATTTTGAAAAGTATTAAAATTTAAATAAGCGCGGGAAACTTTTGTCGTCGCTCCTCGTGAAGGATAGCGGGCGAATTAAAAATTGTTCTAATGTAAACGACATACCGTACGTCGGTAAATTAGAGCGTAAGGCAGACTAGAGGTACGAAAAAGAAGGTAAGCAGTGCAGTAGTATACATTGGTGGTGGGAGGGAAAAAGAAGTCAACGCAGCTGTGTAGGAAGTTTATTTACGTTCTTACGTATCGCGTGAAATATTTCTAACGGTAGTTCGGCTGCTCGTCGCGAAGTCGAACTCGAAGTGAAGACGAGTGGCAAAAGCGGTGCAGCGACGCAACGAAATATCCAGAGCCTGCATGCGGCTTTGGTACTCGGAGAAGGAAAAATCGATCGGCCTGCATAGTATGCGATTGCAGCCGAGCTTTACCGAAGTGGTTTAGTCGAGCCGAACCTGAACTCTGAAATAAACTTTAAGTACGTTAGAAAAAGCTCCAAACTTAAATTTAAGAACAATAGTGTTATACATTAATGCAATTTCACGACTGCTGGCTCAAGCCAGGTTCTAGTTGATTTTGGTGTTATGTTTGTTAATTCATTTACTCGCGATAGATTTTCTTTAACCTGTCCACAGCTTTGGCTGATCGATCGATGAGAAATACGACGTTCCTTTTACGTGTTTGACATAACCTTTAAGTTTGGACTTTTCTTCTGGTTACGTAGTACGAAATAATTTGACTCACTGGTTCTAAGTAGAACGCGGAACTGCATGGTAAATATGGAATGCGCGCGACAAACGGATTGCGCGATGCTCGAGGTTGATACTGATGCATTCGGGTCGTCGAACGGGAAATGATTGAGAAACGTGGAAAATGGCTGGACGGTTATCATGATAATGATTAGTCAAAAATTTAATTTTATTGTATCCTTCGGGATTGTTTCTACTAATTACTGAATACCTTCTCTCTTCTTTCACGCATTCTCCTGCATCAGCTGTGGAACAGTGCGGATTCTACGGGTGGCTCACGGCTTAAGGCAAAAGTACAGTAAAGTATATAACTGTTTTTGGCCCCGTGCTGATACATAATTAAAATTTATTGAAACTTATCATACTAATTGAATCACTTAAAAGTATAAAATATACAAACGTCAGAAGAATCGATAAGACCAAAATTTACGAATTGTTATAATGAAATAGATCTCAGGTATATTATTTTTTTGTTCTAATCATATTATAAAAGTGCTCCAAAAATTAGAATGCTACGGATATTCCAATTCAATTCTTTTCCGTTCCGGTATATTTCACAGATGAGAACTTTTCAAATTTATATCCTAACGATAATACCCGGGCTCTTTTTTGTGATGGTACGCTACTGGTTACGGTGGGGGCAACCAAACCAGCTCGGCTCGAGTCGGAAAGGAGAACCGCGTGTTTCCCGTCTCTGTCTTCAGTTGAGTTCGAGCTCGGCGAGCGGCCGCTCTGCTCCGCTCTATGCTAGAGATATCTGTCGCGACGCGCTACTTGGCTGCCCGGTTGTCGGTTAGTTCGCCAGTTTTGTATCTGCGTTTCTTCGTGTTTCTAATACGTCAAAATATTGCAAGAGAACTACGCATAGGTACAATCATAGTCGCGAATATCGTATTATTAATTGTTATGGTAAAACCAAGGAACACAGAGTAAAATTTTCCTTCCTGTAGGATAGTATTTTAGCACAAGGGGTGATAATGATAACCAACGACCAGTAAGGATGTGCATAAGAATGGTAGGGGCTAAGAAGTTTCTAGTTACAGAGTTATAAATCAAAATCGTCTTTTCCTTTTGCTAATCAAATGTAAAATGATCGATTTTCAGTCGCAGTGAAGTAAAGGATCTTTTGAACGTTCGACACGATTGAATTGTGAAATTATTAATGAGGTTATCAGGTTACAAATATTTTGTTAGGGAATGACGATCCAGTGTTATGATCAAGGGATTCTATTCATGTATTATTTAAAAAAATTTTATTAGCTGTGTCAAAATAATCTAATGTAATATCAGGACATAAAATTAATTTGATCAATTATAACCAAAAAATTGACAATATTTATTACTACGCAAAACATCGTCTAGTCCTTTAGGGCTGTTTCCACAAAATTTATTCTACGATTATTTAAATCAAGCAGCAACTGAATTACAGTCACGCGATTCGTGTGTTGAAAACGTCTTCGGAGTCACATAAATCTAGAACTATAAGAAAGGGAGAGCGACTATGAATGTGCTATGCGCAGGTTTGATATCGGTGAAAAACTGGATTCTCGTGAAGATGGTGTAAATCGTGCGGAATTATCGGCAATCCAAGAATCTCTTGGAAACAATCGGTGAATCGGTGCTCGTGTGATACTCGTGAACGCGGTGGTTATTGGTGCTTGGTGGTTGTACAGTTGGGAGTCGGTCGTCCGGTGGCACCTGGGTCTCGTCTACATCGGGTTCCTCCTCATGCTGGGCGTGTTGAAGCGGCGCTGGAAGCCATCGAAACGGTGAGTTTTTCAAAATTACTTTACGTCGCATCCTGCACCTTATCCTGTTTAACTCCATTTCATTTACATATATTCAATGATTCCAATGGATCTTCAATTATTTGCTTACCTACTTGCTACGTGGCATTCTTGAATTTAAAGAAATTGTACAAGACAGATCGGAGCTAGAATTAACAATTTGTATTTATATGCATATAATTACACATACGTAATAAGCATACGTACTGTACCTACGATAACGGGATAATTACCGATTGCAAGTAAGAGTACAAAAGTATCGTAGAGAAAGTACCAATGCCCTTTGACTCTGGCTCATCTATATGTATACAACCTTTAACTCTGCATGTCTTAAAGGCCGAAAGTTCCTCATGCAATTTCGTAACGTAACCCCTATAACAGTTCAGACATAGCTCAGAACGACAAAAGACATATCTCACGTGGCAGAGAACCCCAAAGCATACAGTACAATATAAATGACGTAACAATTCTCCAGGGTGTACATACAGTCAATAACAGAATTTGATGATTCCCATTGCGCGAATTTCAATTCCAAGCACAAACTGATTTGCGTATGTTAATGAACTTTGACAGCGGTTTCGAAATTCGTGCGCAAGTTTTCCAATTAATGCTTTACAGTTATAGGCCTATCGACTTAAGAGACACTAGTAAAATAAGAAGGCAGGGGACTCGTACCTGGTTGCCGGTAAGTTCGTTCTGCAAGGTCGGTGGCCTCGTGGAGTAAGGAAGGCGCAAGTTCACCGGGAAGTCGCTGAAAGAGGAACTTGAAGTAGGGAACAATCGTGACGGAAGAAGCGTAAGCGCGTTACATGCTCTCGCCATTGTAACGAGGTTCAAGTCGGTAAGGCAAGACCGAGGGGTGAGTTACCTGCCCGCATCTGGGTACGAACATAATTGCCGAGAATTCCATTGTTCTCGGAGGGGTTGCCGAGCGAGAACTAGTTACAGCCACATTGGACTCTTTTTTTTTTTGTTCAACCGGGTCTTCCACCCTTGCAGAGTAAGTAGTTCTACCCGAAGGAGTTGCCAGGAGCAGCCAATTAATTCTAACTAAAATAACGTAACGCGGAGAGGGCATGAGAACGAATGAGGTTTTAAGGTCTACCGGGTGTACCTACCGTAGATGAATAAATGATCAATGTTAGTATATGGTGTTTAATTAAACTCGGTTAACGGATATTGAAAATCGTGGAACTTGTGTCGAGCCAAGTTTAGACGTTTGTATATACGTGTATATGTGTTTATATATATATATATATATATATGCGACGAGCATTGAAGGCGATTGAAGATGGCCTGTGGTTTCTTAATTTAATTGAGGTTAGGTTGCTGTTTTAGGATATTTATTACGATTGTATATATTCTATTGGTTTTTATTGCCATTCGGGCGCGACTGAGGTTGAGCTATTTGATATGCGCTGACCTACTGAGAAAATAACATTCGTCGCTAAGAGTGTATTCTGGCGATGTTCCTCGTTTGAAAAAGCCCGGGACGTAACGGCGCACCTGGCTACGATGACTAATTTAAGGTTTAGGACGCGCAGCTTAGCACACTTTCCCAATTGACTTACGTGAACCTTCTGTGTATTTGGATCTGTTGGAATGGCTTGCTTTAAGAAAAATGGTGTAAAAATATACGAATAAATTTACTTCTCTCTCACTGCGGGTACCGTAATCACGTGTTGCACTCAACCCTGATTACTATTACGAGTGCATAAGTAGGAAGGAGCTCCTTCGAAAAAGTTTCTCACAAGCGAGTCAACGCCGTAGATGGTGGAGATCAGCGCGTAAATTGGCCGTAAATATTTTCTCACTGGCAGTCCGGCACGTTTTAGATGAATTTAATTGCCTTTTGTCTCGCGCGTTAATAGACTCACTGCGCGCAGCCAGCACGCGCACCTACGTACGTTACGTTACGCGCATCCAGTAAAATTGGCGGGAGTAAATTGAATTTGAAAAATTGTATTTATCACGGGAATGCCTTTACGTTTGTCAATGACGATCGATGATACCAATGATAAATGATCAGCAGATACACAGAAGGTCAACCAAGTGATGAACTCCTACAATGGGGCGCTGTATTCCAACACGGCAGCAACGATTAATAACAGTGCGGTACATAAACGATCGAGGGACGATATCGATCGATCGATCGACCGCAACAGGCAAGGACACCTAAGAGCCAGGGTACCGCAAGCATCTTTTTTTTTCCTATGGCGCCTAACGTAAGATCGTTACACCTTCCTGTCTACTGTTTTTTATGGACTTTTTCAGTGACCAACGTTCGGTCTCTGCACTTTGGGCATTTAGATTGTTTATATGACTCGTTCGATTAACTTTTTTTGTCATTGTGAAAGAAGGCGACAGATTTTCAAGGTCTTCGTAGACCTTGACTTTTATTCTGGGACGAGAATCAAGAGAGCATCCATATATTTGAAGATCGACACTTAATACCGTTAACTTAGTTTGTCTTTAGACAAATTGTGGAAAATAATTTTTTTTTTCCAAATTTTTGCAACTTTTTATTATTTGTCATTTATGCGAACGTTATGGAGATTATAAATTGGATTTCCCTGTGCGATCTTAAATATTAATAATATTTTTTATATTAATCTTTTAAGGGATTAGAAGTTCCCAGAATTTTTATAATAATGTAGGAAGTCGCAAGGAAAAAGTTGAAAATTGGAAAGACGAACAGAGGTCTCCTGTAGAATTTGCAAGGGCGTGCAAAACCCTCGTGAGAAAGTTAGCTCGTATATTCTCTGGAGCGTTTGATTGTACGATTACGTCGGTGAATCAGGTCGAACGAGGGATCCGAAGTAAACGCATTGTTCCCGGGGGCCATTAAAAACAACTGTCCACATACCTTTTCATTTTATTTCTATTCGTCGATTCCATCCTCCGCACAATTTCGGAATTTCGCATTTTCATCATAAACCGTCTTTTTTTAGCACTCGGCATAATTTTGACAGCCAGGCCACCCATAACTCAACCAGTATAACCAGTTCGGTCCGAAAGGTTTAATTCGCGAATGAAAATTCGCTAACTGTTATCAGTCCTTGAGAATCGCAACAGCAACTCAAGTTCTGCGACACTCGTCAATGTTGCCCACCCGTTATATTTTGGTCGGTTAACTTAGACTTTTTTATGAATGGCCAAAGACCGTACCTCTGATTGCAAAATTCTGCACATGAATGAAAGGACAGTGCGAATGAGTCTGGAAATGTTATACCTGGTGTGCAACGTTGCAATCGACTGGTCAGTCGAACCTTTTAAATCGCAAGAGTCGGCATTACGATTGGCAACGTCGTTCGACGAACTTTCGCCGTCGCCCTTTACGCTCCGCGATTTCTTCGTAATCCTGCGACTATCGTCTCTCCTCGTCTCTCCTCTTCTTTCTCAATTTCTTCCTCGCTCACGCTCCCACAAGAAATATCTCTAATCGTCAATTATCTCTTACGAGCATTCAGAACTACCCAGACTCCGACTCCTACATTCGCGTCTCTCCCGGTCTTTCTTTATTGCACCGCGCGGATAAACCTGCGCCTTCTGCATTGGCTAAATTTAAATGTCAATAGTATCTAAGAAATTAAGCGGCTCGAGTCCGGTTAATAAATCTCGATGGTAATACGCAGATACGTATATACCATCCGCGTGGTAACTTGAATCTGGGATTATAAAGAATTTTTCAAAAATCGTTTTCACTCGCATATCCCGTATTACGTATCTTCTGTTATTTATATGAAACATTTATTGTTCGTTCAATCATCAAAAGTACCTCGTTACTTTTCCCAGTAGCACAGGAAATGTCCGAGGGCGAATTAAAGAAGCCTTTCAGGACTGTTCGTGAGAAATGCCGGCATGTCCGATTCGATCGAATTCCATGGAGCAAACATAACTCGACCAACCATATATATATGTATATACTGCTGATGGTCTTTCGCCACTGTTAAAACGTCTATACCATCTTGACTCTACAGACCTTCTCAGGATCTGTTGAGCCGTATCGACACCACCAAAGCGATTCGCTATTCTCTCCTCCATAAAGCCTTTCATCATCTTCAACTCCTTTCTCACTTTTCCCGGTGCCATCCACGGTTTCGCCCGGCGTTGCTCGAGCACCGAGAAAAATGACAACGTTGACTGTACCTATATCCATCTATATATGTATACCAGTACCTACGCCTATACTCCCTTTACCATTCAGTCCCTTTACTTTCAAGTCTAGAACGACAGCCTTGTAGCCTGACCCCATCCCGGCCATCCACCGCCTCCTTGCGGCAAACTGAATTATTACTGCAATGCAGGTGCAGGTGCAACGTTGCCCTGTCCTCTGGCGAACGTTTTTACAAGCCACCTTCAAGGAGCTTATACAAGTAATCTTCTATGGGCTTTTCTTTAGTCGGCTAAATTTATATTCGTATCCAGTTGGAATGTTTTCGTCGAAGTTCGGACAAATTTGCGATTATTTTGGGTTAGGTTAATGCGTGTTTTATTTTTGGACATTTTTTTTTGTCGTTGGGTACGATCTTTTTTTTTTTGTTTCCTTTACCGTACGGCGTTACTCACCCGTCATGAATTTCTTTTCATTCAATGTGTCGGACGCCAGATAGTGTTTCCTATGTAACAAAGCGCGCCTTTTTCAAACGATTCGATATGCTGCCACGCCGGTGATCGCCGGGAGGCTGTTTGTTCGACAGCTAGACTTTGATAATAATACAATATAGTCTTTATTATCTGAATATAAGGACGGGCCGTGAAATAAGGTCTAGGAATCTGGGACACATGTCCCATAACGCGTACGATCGTATAAATTTGATTTCTACAGGCGTAAGATGAAATATTGTTGCTGATATCAAATGAACGTTAATGAAAAATTTTTGTCACGCGATAACAGTGGTTATATGTTTTTGAGTGATCGCGAGGATTACAGTCGCTACTTGTACGAAAACAAATGAAACAAAATTTTCTCGGTTTTGAAC